AATGCTCTTGAATGCTCTTGAATGCTCTTGAATGCTCTTAAATGCTCTTGAATGCTCTTGAATGCTCATGAATGCTCTTGAATGCGGCGATGGACAAACTACGCTGGATTGTTTCAGCCGTACCAATGTTTTTTCCCAGCCTAATATCCCGCAGACCACGACTTGATGGGGCGCATCGCGTTGGAGTTTGGAGCCCGTGCCTTCTTGCAGGTCTGGGAGCACGCCAGTGTGAGTGCACTCGGTATTGCTAGGGGCAGCGTCTGACCTCAGTGACAAAACCAAAGCGATCGAGAATAATCAGCACCACTAGGTACTGTACATAGCTACAATCAGAAGACTATTAGAGAAGCAAGATCATCAGCTGTGTTCGTCAGCAGCATTCTAAGGACGGAGTACGTCGTAGATGAAAAGTGCCGCTAGTGGGTTGGAGAAAACCGCCAGAGCCTTGGGCGGCGAGGCTGAAAGCTTGGCGTATATTTTCAGGATCCAGCGAGCCAGGAACGCATCCAGTAGTGAAATCGCCTCCAAGCTACTTGGTGAGTTGGCAATCTTCCATGCCACAAACCCCATCATGTGGGAAAATATGTACCGCCAGTCTAAAGTGAGGTGAATCTTATTAGGCGGCATTTCGCGCTCACTTGTTGCTGACCTCGCTACTGACTGTCCTCATGGACCGCTACCGGGGGTACGTTCATCTTCTCCGCAGTTCGTGACTTTGAGATAACTGACCCCTGTCAGGTCCCGGCGATCGCCTGCGCCTCGAGACAGACAACATCGAGAACGAGACCTCCATCCAGACGTGGAATATTTTGGCGAAGGTGAAAGCTACAGGCCCGGTGGCTCAGGAGGCGACAATTCGTACAGACCTCCAAATCGTGATCGGGAGCGTGACCGCGATCGCTTCATTGCAGACACCTGGACGGCTGACAGAAGAGAGGCGCGGCGGGATGAACGAAGAGAAGACATTGATTCCTACGTCCCAGCGACGAGTACACGAGCAGCTAGACCGCGCAGTCGATCCCCAGCCTTTCGCCGACGTTCACGCACACCACCAAATAGAAGAGAAGATTTATTCGCAAACAGACGATCACCCCCTCGCCGTTACTCCCCTCGAAGATCGCCACCGAGAAGGAGATCTAGGTCACCACCTGGTGGGAGAACTCGTAGTCCACCGGACTCGAAGAGATACAGAGATTTCTCCCCCGATCCTGGTCGACGCTCTCCGAAACGCGAACGACGATTTTCCCCCGAACGAAGCCGATTTGATCGCGATCGATCACCTATCAGAGGTTCACCAAGAGGTGAGAGTTACAGACCTAGGTCAAGAACCCCCCCACGTCGGAGGCAACCTGACAACTGGGTGAGACGGTCTCCCTCGCCGAGAGATTCTGGTGTAGCATCACACAACACTTCACGAAGGTCGTCTCCCCCTATTCATCCAGACCGAGCAAGCTTGGCGGGCTCTCAGCCGAGATCACCAGCACATCCTACTCGAGATCATTACGACAATGCCGACTCGGCAAGCTTTCGAGGCAGATCACCTGCTGCTCGTTCAGTCGCCGATGGAGATCAACGGTCTCGAGAAACCGATGTGAGTACGCCGCGGGACGAGGTGCAACTGAATGGCGAGATCCGACAACCACCCTCTGGTCCCAGCAGTTATCGAAACGGTACCTACGAGCGACCACCACCCACGGGTCCATCACGCAGTTTCAGTCAACCGATCCAGTCCCCACCTACCGGTCCTGCAGCATCAATGTCCATGTCAGCCCACAATCGTGGCGGAGGCGCCTCTACACTCAATGCCCCCACCAGACCTCGTGGTGCCATCGGTAGATTCGACGGTCCACCATCTCGAGATTTCTCGGGTCCTCCAATGCGTGGTCGGGGTGGCTTACCATTCAGAGGCCCAGCTCCCTACGGACCAAGAGGAGGAGGTTACGGGCGCGGAGGCGACTTTGGCACAAGCAACCGCGGTGATTATGGTGGAGGGGGCACTTACCGCGGCGGGTTTGGACGAGGCGGCCCTGCTGGAGGCGAGTCCACATTCCCGTTCCGCGGCAACAGCAGCACCAGCATGACATACCCTCGTACACAGCGCTTCAATACCGTTCAACAACACCTCGCAACTAACGAGAAGATCGTGACGGGGGGCAAACTGCTTCCCACAGGCGTACCTCCTGACCAGGAGAAGCGCATCAAGATGCTCGAAGCAGAAGCCGAACGAATGCGGACTGAGATCTCCGAGAAGCAAAAACTTAAGCGCGAAGTGCTGAATGAGTGGGATGTAAGGGAAAGAGAGAGTGAGAGGGAGGCGCTGCGTAGTGACCTCGCAGAACAGCATTTGCAGCAACTGATGGAAGGGGAAGATGGGATTGGAAGAGCAGCGTTCTAATGAATCTTACCTGGTTGGGTTGGTTGATCGATCTATGGCGGCTCCGGTCTATAGAGGCTGAGGACAGTCCCTCGAGGAGGAACACAACTTGTGCCGTCTTTCTTCCTCATCAAGCAGCCCTCTGTCCCACAAAAGAAGTGCTGGAAAGGAGAATGAATTTGAGCGGGCGTGCATGTCATTGAATCATATCATTTCACCGAAAAGTACGACACAGGATGGACAGGGATGACACTACAGATGAAGACTTGTACTCGAACTCGATGCCGGAATACTAGCAAGAAGGAATTTGGAATGGGATACTTGGATAAGAAAAGGCGCGCGCCAAGGAGAGCTCTCTTCTCTTTTTTTTTCGCTTTTGCACATCTTGTCTCCCAAATGGAGAGGTCTCAACACAAAAGTTTGATCAAATGCGCTGTGATAACAGTCCGGAGGATGGTCCACATTTTCTCTCCGTCATGAATTTGAGCGAAACCAAGCAGGATTGAGGAGATAGGGAAAAGAAAAGCACTGGTTGATGTTTTCCAGCTCAGAGTCCATATGCCATCGGCCTCATACACCATCCACTGCTGCTCAAAGCTCTCTTCGGGCACCTCGTTCCTATTCTCATATGGTTGATGCCAACCCCCATGACCTACGAACCAACGGCTCTGCCGCCATCAACCTCCAAATTCACGCCCGTGATAAACTTGCCCTCGTCGCTCGCCAGAAAAGCCGCCACATTGGCCACGTCGGAGGGATCCGTCAGTCTCCCTAGCGGGACATTGAACAAGAACTTCTTCATGTTTTCCTCATTGTATGGGACTCCCACAAAGGATTCGAAGAGGCCCGTGCCGGAGAGTAAGGGGCAAAGGGCGTTCACGCGGATTTGGTCTTTGCCGAATTCGGCGGCGAGACCCTTTGTGGCCTGTTCCGAGCAACCATTAGACCCAGGGATGGAGGGGGAAATGCGGATATAGAGCGACTTAAGCTTAGAAGAAACAGAAGACTCACATTCGCAACGGCACCCTTGCTCGCATTATACCAGACCAACCCCGGCCTGGGTCTCATGGCCCCTATACTGGCAATGTTGATGATACAGCCACCTCCCCTGCTCTTCAAGGCAGGGACCGTAGCTGGTATGCTCAAAAAGATGCTCTTGACGTTCACGGCCATGACCTTGTCGTACTCTGCCTCCGTAACTTCCAGAGTAGGTTTATTCTTGTAGGATGTGCCGGCGTTGTTGACCACGATGTCCAGCCCACCGAATTTCGATACGGCAAGATCAACCATTTTGCTCCAATCACTGGACGACGTGACATTGACGGTGAGAGCTGCAACGTGGCTGTCGGCGGCACTAGCGTAGGCTTTTTGCAGACCTGCTTCATTCATGTCCGCGGCGACGACTTTGGCGCCTTCGTCGATAAATTTTCGGACACATGCGAGGCCGAAGCCTGAGGCGGCACCTAAAGACGCATTGCATTAGGCATGGAATGTGATGTCGAGTCACTTTTTGGGGCTTTGTGCCAAGTTTACAATCGCACGCAAACAGAACGAGAGGCATAGAGGTGGCCACTTACCTGTGACGATGGCCACCTTGTTGGCCAGTTTGCCGGAGCCTGTTTGGACCTCGTGAAGACCTGACATGGTGCAAATATCTATGCAAAATCTGTGATTCAATCAAGTAGGGGCAGCTCACGGTGCGTTGGAGAGAGAGAAGAGGGTAAGAAATGAAACGACAGGAAGACATGCTGCCACCGGAAGTCGAGCGTGAAAGATATATAGGCCAATGGGCCATCTCTATGCCCCGCAGTGATCCAAACCATCTGAGAAGAAGGTTCGAGGACCATGTTGTATGAACAAGGGGCAATCAACAGAGGGGTAGAGTCGTCCGTGGGAAAGGAATTTTCGGAAGAAGCTTGCGGGGAAGAAACTTGCAACAGCATGCGGAGATGGTTTCTCGAAACTGAGTCTGGCGAATGATGGCGGGCACATGTCGGAGCCAGCTCATTTTCGAGAACCGGGAAGCCGGCAATCCGCCGTCCCTTGGGATTTGGTTACAGACGCAATTTACAATTGCGCCAAAGAGGTTGGAAAGTCACCAAACATTGTATTGGCAGCCTCGGCCGATCTCGACTTCCAGAACCGATAATACCGACTTCGGTCGCCGGAGGAACGGATCGCTGCAATGGTTGACTTGAATGGCACCACCTCTTATGCAAAGGGAAAATCTGCGACTGTCAAGAGTCGGGCAAAGCTTTTGGGCGCGAATATAGAGGTTGAGGATCGCTGCCAGAGATTGAGTGCAAGTAGGCCTGGTGGCCGCGCTAGCAAGGGTATGAGAGTCGCAAACCGAGCATGTATCAAATTTGTTGTGGGTATCTCAATGGTGATATACAGCAATCCGAGACCGTGTGTAGCTAAGATTATTTCCTCTTCTTGTGGGCGCGACCCTCTGCAGGATGCATTAGTTTCGTGCAGGCCACCGGCGAGTTGGGCGACTGTACCTGCTGCCGTTTTCTTCTTTTTGGGCGCACCCTTTCCTCTTAACTTAGCAAAGGCCACATTTTCCAGTCTGTCATCTTCCTCTTCGTTGAAACCCTCCAGATCAAACTTTTTGAATTCGTTCAGAACATCTTCCACAGTGGCCGATCGTCTGGGGTAGTACGAGGCCAACGCAGGGCCTCTTAGTCGCTGACGCAGGATTTTGTTGCCCAATCGCTGCTGCATGGGGTTGAAGGTCGTAGAGAAGATTGAGCATTGAAGCTGTAGAATGATAGGCCGATTAGCAGGATGCACCCTGAAGGGATCGTGAAGTTTGGCCAGCAGTTGGCCTGCGGCGCGGTCAGTTGCTGGGCTCAAGCATACCTGCATCAGCTGTAATAGCCGACCCCTCGACGGAGAAGCCATTGCAATGCTATACGGAAGAGAAGTTGGCTGATTGAATGTGCTGGGAATGGGAGAGAGAAGTGCTGGATTGAGCGAATTCGAGGCCTTGGAACTGCGATTCGGCTACAATTGCCTCAAGAGATTCAACCCGCCTCCACTTTCTCTTTTTGCCCTTTTCCAAACTTGGACTTCACTTTCATCTTGCCTTCGACTCTCCACCAGGCCATGCCAGGCATCTTCTCCAGGTGCTGCTGTTCCACGGATCATAAGAACACTTCGAGCGGCATTCTTTACCTAAGTATTCTTCATCCAGACCATGCCGGAATTCGACAGAAAGCGCAAGTTCGAGGGCGACCGGCACCACCGCCCGAAAAAGCCACACAGAGACAACTCAAAGCCCTCAAATCACAACAGTCCTCAAACACCAACCAATCATGGACTGCCTCCTCTGCCACAAATCCACGACAAGTATCGATCAGTTGTCTTCACTCACCCAAGCCAGGCACCCAGCAATGTCCATGCCAGCTACGACAGGCTCGAATTCCTAGGAGACGCTTACCTCGAGCTCTTCGCTACTCAGATAATCTTTGACCGATTTCCGCATCTAGATCCGGGCAAGATGTCTCAAATTCGAGAGACGCTGGTCAGAAACGAAACCATCGGCCAATATGCTAGCCTTTACGGTCTTGACAAGCAAATCCAAAGCTACAAACAATTCCAAAATCAGGCGCCCCATGCCTGGCTCAAGATCAAAGGAGATATCTTCGAGGCCTACGTCGCTGCTGTAATCCTGTCTGATGCGGATGCGGCAGGGCTAGCGAAGAAATGGCTTCATGAGTTGTGGGAACCGAAATTGCAGGCTGCTCTCGCCGCCAATGATGGCCCATCAAAAAAGAGCAAGGAGGAGCTGGCCAAAAGGATTCTTGCAAAGGGTATTAAGATCAATTATGTGGATGAGAAAGAACCCATCGTTCACTACGGTCAAGGCAAAGAGACTTACTTTATTGGAGTGTATTTGACTGGTTGGGGCTGGGACAACCAGTACCTTGGCAGTGGAAAGGGGGCCAGCAGAGTTGAGGCTGGACAAGCGGCTGCAGCGGCCGCACTCAACAACCGTCCACTCATTGATGAGATCGCAGCCAAAAAGGCAGAGGCTTACTTCCAGCGAGACAAAGAAGCCGTAAAGAAGGATGAGGCGGAAAAAGACTGACGCTGTCTGTTGATGTGTCATTCTCAAGCGCATTCTGAAATCTACCCGTTCCCCTCAACAATTGCCTCACAGCGACGGCGTCACAGAACCTGAAACAATAGCAGCCAGCTACAAACATCAACAGACATCGAGCTCGAGGTGTATGACCTGACATACAATGTCATTCACTGTCGTGGAATCCTTCGTCGTCGGAGATGTCCCAACAAAGAAGTCAATTGCCCGATTGTCTGGATAAATTCATTCTATATTGTGGTGAAGTAAAGAATTCCTTTTCACCTCCTCATGTGTCGACACACCTGTGAATCTCTGTTAGCCTGCGCCGCTAACGACAAAGTATCTGACGATATCGTTGCCGCCGAAGTCGAATTGCCTGTCACTTGAAGGGGGAACTTACGGTCCGCTTCCAGTGCCAATTGCTCTTTGGCAGGACTCTGCGAATCCGAGAACAACAGCTGGGCCTTGGAAATTCTGGGCGGGTCTTGGACTGCATCTTCTTTGCCATCGTCCTTTTTGCTCTGCAGCCAGCCAGAAATGCGCATATTCAGCCTTCCCAAAGCTCTTCGCTCGTTTCCGTTCTCTTTCCCAGAAGCCATGATCTGCATGCAACCAACATCTCGATGTGCCGTCTTTGTTCCAGCGTTCGGCACATTGGCTATGACGCCTTCCTCGTCCAGCTTGTGGCCCATTATCTTGGCCTGGGAATCTTGTATGGGTGTCTTCTCAGACTCGGTCACAACAAAATCTTCGACGGATTCAGCGCACGCTCAGGCCACAAGTTGATCAATGAAGTGTTTCTCTCTGTCTGGCCAGATATAGCGATAACTGATTGCGCTGCTACGCCGAACCATCTCGAATTGACCTCCGCTCCGACCAGCTGCGCGTCGACGCCGTCGACGTGCCTCGATCCTCTCGGCGACACTGCCATCTGACATCATCGGGCCTGATATCAGCTATTAAGAGAGTTGCCAATCTTTGAGCCGAGATCTTGTATTAGCGAACCCACAATACAACCAGCTGTGCATGCAATGAATACTATGAGGATGGAACGACGTGCTTGTGAAGGGATAAGAGGACAGAAATTATGGAGTATTATCAACGGCAGTTGTCTCTAGCCGTGGTAGGAAGAAGGCAGTAGACTGCAAAGTCAACCCTAACAGACATATGTCGTGTTGATATCATACAAAAAGGTTGAATCAGGGCACGATCCTGTAACTGTTTGGGCAGACGGTGTGATGGCGACACGGTTACCTACCTGCCCGGCGGTGAAGAGTGGAGGCGTTAAGGGAACGGCTTTACTAAGGATGGGAAGCCAAATTCCACAGCCTCGCAAACACTGTCGTTTGCCAACCGATTGAGCCATCGGTAGACCATCAGAAATAGTTCGCACGATCATCACCACGGTATCGGGGTATCTCGAGGAGGCAGAGCCCCTTTTCGCAGCCAGCCTCGTCATGTCTGGTCGTAACACATCACCGGCCACCCAATAACATACCGCAGACAAAGCATACTCATTGTCTCACAGTCAATCGACTTAATGGAATAAGGCGGTGTGCCGACAAAGCCAACAAAAGACAGGGATATCCAGAGCAACAAAGGCTTCAACAATCAGCTCTGGAGCTCCGATGTCTTTATTTGCTGTCTTCTTGTTTGTCAATCTTCACTTGAAGGAGATCATTGAACCACGCAGCACCCCCCGATTGCGTTACATCCTATTGCAAACACGGAACACCCAAGAAGTCAGATCTACACCACAAAGATGATACACCCGTCTGTCCTCGTCTTACTCTTTTACACAAAGCTCATCGCTGCCTACCCCTCCCCGGAACTAACGTACCTGCCTAAGGCCCAATGTGCCTACCCGGGCCAACTCGTCTGTGCGTCAGAATCGACGTTCGCCATTTGCGACGCATTTCTCACGGGGATCATTCAACCTCTTGCCGACGGTGATACGCGGTGTGGTGACTTCGAGAGTGTGAACGCAGCACCGGCCCCTGCTGCTTCATCTTCCACTGTTCCTCCTTCCGCCTCCTCCGCTACCCAGGAGACCCTGGGATTCGAGAAAACAGTGGCGTCAAAAGAAGCAACAGCGTCTCAAACACCGTCGTCAACGAAGATAACTCCAACCCCAAGTCCGAAACGAACGACCAGTATCCCCCCAAAAATACCAAAATTAACAGGCACATCCTCCCCGGCCCCAAAGAACACCCCGAAACAAGCCACGTCCAACGCTCACCCAACCAAGTCCTCCGCCACCACGCCTTCTCCTCATTTTGCAAGCGGGCAGCAAGTCGTCCCTACCACTCTCGCAGTCGTGCCGACAGTTCCTCCCCGGGACGGATGCAATCCAGGAAAGAGTACCTGCGCGGGAGGTTGACGAAGTATCAGTCTACAAAGGTTGGAGGAAGAGCAAGAGGTCCACCGTTGATACCCCCCTATATTTGTTAGGCGTTGATAGTTCATCATCTCTGAAATCTTTGCTGCGCACTGCCGAGCCTAAATATGCCTAGTCAGTCTATAGTAATCGCCGTCAAAGTGGCAGTTGTGCCTTCATCTGCTCCGGCAAAAGGTCGTCTACCACTTGACACAGCCATAATGCATGCATTTTGGATGACATTTCAAGCTCCACAAATACGCAGAGGAGTTTTCCTGATTCTTTCGAGTGGTTCATTGATCGCCTCGTGCTCTACAACGCTAATTGCCTTTTGATCCTTTTTAGAATATTGCAGGAGCCACTTTACACCGACACTGAGAAAGTCCCAGTGTGGCTGAAGGGACAAAAAATCCATTTGAAAGTCGACTGGCAGGCCGCAGGCGCGGAATCTTGTCGATACGAATGATAATCGAATTGAATATAAGGGTAATCACACAGCCGCCCTTATATCAAGCTTTCTTAGACCTTGAACATCGCATTCTAGCTCTCAAAGAGCGACCAAACCTAGGGCATGCGAGACAATCATATGTTTAACCGTTCATTTGTTTCCTTCTCATCAGCAGTGTCCTAAATGGATTTTTCGCCTTGAACCTTAGGAACGTTGCCGCATAAACGACGGCGTAATTGAACACGATAAACCCGATGAAAATCCCAAAGTTCCGCCAGAGATGAGAGTAGTATACCGAGAACCCATGTCCGAATTGGTCACCGTTCGCGTACTGGCAGAACTCGCAAAGACCATCGGCTCCGACTTGAACGTAGCCGCCGGCTTGAGCTATATATTGTTGTGTATATGATCGACAGGTATAGCCTGGGGGTGCGCTCTGGAAGGAAATATTAACCTATTGACCACTCAAATTGGAAAAATTGACTCACGAATCGAGCAAACTCTCCCCGGTTGCAGCGGACAGGTTGGTTGTGAATGATTGACTGCAATGGCTGTCAGTATGACTTTCGGAATATAGGCGAGACGTCGCAACTTACCCCTAGCATGGCCTCAAGAAGGTAGTGGAATGGCGTCAGCCAATACATCCTGGAAATCATCAGCAAGAGCTTCAATATAATTTCCAGGATAAGGCAGCGCCCAAGGGCTAGGGCGAAAGATACTTACCAACTTCGCCAAAATGTCGGCAATTGGTGCGGCGGCACGACAACACCACAAAAGCTCACGACGAACAGGAAAAAGACCGGCACCAGCAGACTCGCAAGCAGTTCATTAGGCGCAAACGAGGCGATAGCCTGCCCGAAGCTGATATAGTACAACTCGAAGAGCAGTATACAAAGCAATAGGAAGCCTGAGGTGAAAGATGAGGTCGAAGTGCGGTAGCCGGCGATTCCAAACCACCAACAACAGTAGAAGATGACTCCAGCGACCAAGGAGTAAGGGATTTCGGCGAGAACAGCACCTGTCGTCCAAGCAAACCAGCTGTAAATCTTAGCATTGTTCTCTCGGGACCGGAATGTATTTCGAGAATGAATGAAGACGGGTTGCAGTTGTTGAATGAGCGGTGGAGAAATTGTGAGCACCAGGAAGACAGCAAAGAGACGTGATTGCATATCGATAGAGGCAAAGCCGAGGTGGTAAAAAGTGAAGGTGCTGAACAAGCCAGTCATGATATGAAGGATGAATTTGCCGAGAATATAGTTTGGAGTCCGCTATGAGGAGGTCAGTCGAAATGTACAAGGAGAACAGCTTTGGTACCCACCCAGTATGCGACAAACGACCTCTTAACTACCGCCATAGTCTGCGTTCCAAGAGGCATGGCGTATTCTCGATCGTCCTTGACATTCTTACTCTGTTCCACGTTTTGCCTGCGTTCGATCATCTCGGATATCTCATCAGATCGAGCTTGATGGTTCGTGCTTTGTTCCCAGACATCGCCCCAGTCTCTGCCCTTGTAATTGGGGTCGCCAGCGCCAATCACTTCGAGCATGTACTCTGCGGGATTTGCATCTGGAGGACATTTCCGCGCTCCATTCTCCTCGAAGTAATGAAGGAGCTCTTGCGAGTCATGACCAAGAGGGCCGTGATACACAACCCGACCGCCAGTCTTGAGCAAGATGAGCTCATCGAAATGTTCGAAGAGGACCGCTGACGGTTGATGGATTGTGCAGAGAATAGCTTGACCAGCATCCGCTAGCTTCCTCAAAAATCTCACAATATTGAATGCTGCACCAGAATCAAGGCCCGAGGTTGGCTCGTCCAAGAACATGAGCAGCTCGGGTTTACTGGCTAACTCAACACCGATAGTCAATCTTTTCCTCTGTTCTTGATTGAGGCCCTCACCGACCGTCCCGATCGTTGCGCCTGCAATATCCCGCATTTCGAGCAGATCGATGATTGTCTCGCAATATGCGTACTTCTCTTTGACTGGCACCTCTTTCGGTTGACGAAGTAAAGCCGAGAATTGAAGCGCTTCTCTCACTGTTGAGGTCGGCTCGTGGATATCCATCTGCTCCGCAAATCCCGTAGCGCGCTGAAAAGACTTGGGCAAAGGTCGGCCGTCGACAAGAAACTCACCCGTGACCGTGCCGAAGTTGATGCGCTGAGCAAGAGCATTGAGGAGCGTCGTCTTTCCTGCACCACTTGCGCCCATTAGCGCGGTGAGTTTTCCGGGGCGGACATATCCCTGGACGTTCTGGAGAAGCTTCCGCTGACCCTTTTCATAGGGAATGACATAATTAATGTCCCGGAAGGTGTAGATTGTCTCGTTCTTGGCCACATGTTTCAGAAGGGAGTCGTCCTGCCTTGTGCTCGTGGACTCGTTGCTTTCACTACTAGGAGACATCACTTTCTCCATCAGATTTGCTGGAATCGAGCCTCTGGACTCCTCGTCCCGATCGGAGTTCTTGTCTCGGCCGCCTGTTTCAATGGTTTGCTCCATTTTCTTGGGGACCTGGCCACGCTTGAAGACGGTAATAGCGCCACCACCTGCATTAGGCTTCATTGTTTCCATGCCGAAAGCGGCCAATGCGAGGAAGAATGCGAAGAAAGCCCATAGGAAGCCGAAATTTCGCCAGAGGTGGGAACGACTGTACCCGAAAGCCTGGTGAATGTATCGAGCTCCATTCACTGTTGTTTCACCCGGTCGGCTACCAGCTAATGTGCACGACTGGTACTGAGGTCGTACATTTGGGCCCTGAGGGACAAGAAAGGGAGGCACGCATTCCATAATTAGACCAGTAAATTCATTGGCCATGAGACATTCAAATCCATACTGTATCCAATTGATTCGCCGAAGCCAGCTGAACCAAACCTTCATCTGGTGCGGTGCTATCGGGTCGTCAGCTCTTGAAAGAACACGGACACGATTACCTACGAATGAGATAGCCAGTATACACAACCAATATTTGAATTGAGACGCCGGTGAAACGAGTAGCATCGTCCAGAGTCTTGCAGAGGGCGGAGAGCATGCGGAAATAAGTGTACGTTACCATTGTGACGGTCCAGATGATGAAACAGGAGATGAAGAACTGAGAAGCAGAAGCGGCAAGCCCGGCCATCCAGTATATAATGATGTTAAACAGTAGGACCTGGATGGCTATCAAGGGGATGTCGACGACCGTTTGTGCGAGGGCATATGCTGCGGGACGGTAGAAGGAGAATGATTTGTGCTTCAGGAGGATCGGTTTGGAGGCGAAGGCGGCAGTCATTTCTGCCAAAGCCAGTAGGGCATTGAAAAGAAGAACGAAGAAGATGACACCGCCCCTGGGGAAGGCTCCAGCAGTTGTTTCTGGCATCTGGAAGAACAAGCTTCCCACGATTAGTCCCTGGGATTTCGTCAGCAAAGTGCGGCCTGCGATGGACGGTCGCCCTGCACACGTACCTGGAATACAATGCCTCCCCACTTCCCGATCAAGGAAGCTCGGTCGCCCAGCATAACCAAGAACTGCCGCTGAGTGCATGCGAGAACCTGTTTGTGAAAAGGAATGGCGTAGTTCTTCTTGTTGTTCTTTGCGATGTTCGGCTCACCAGATTCCCGTTGCTCCTCCAACTGAGCTTCAAAGTCTCTAATGTCTTCAAGGTTTCGTTGATAGGCCTCGGATTTCCGATAGAGAGCAGCGAATTCGTCTGCATTTCGTGGAATTCGATCTTCCCACCCTTTCCTAACAGACCTCGCATGCGGATCGGTAACCGAGGTTAAGAAATCAGAAGTCGTCCAACGTGGCTTACATTCAAAACCAAGGTCGGTGAAGTATTGTTTGGCATCATCAGCTGACCCAAAGTACAGACATTTACCTTCGTGAATCAGCAGGACCTTGTCGACAAGTTGGTACAACGATTCTCCAGCTTGATACAAGGACACCGCTGTGGAAGTATGGGCCATGTTGGTGAGGGTACGAATGCACTGGACATACTCGAGTGCGGTACTTGCATCCAGACCTCGACTGGAGTTATCCCAGCCTTGAACAGAAGCCCTAGTGATCATAGCTGTACTACATCAGTGACCAGATTCACACCACGAAAATGGGAGCGTACCTTCTGCTATGCTGACTCGTTTCTTTTCACCACCAGAGACTCCTCGAACAAACTGATCGCCTACTTTCGTGCCCAAGGTGTGTTCGATCCAGAACAGTTTCGTGACCACTCGCAGAAATTCTTTCTTGTAATCTGCCCGAGATTCTCCTTCCAATCTCGACTCTTTGCCCGGAGTCCGAGTTTTTAGGGCAAACATCAGAGTGTGTTTGACTGTCAACGTCGGATAATGAAGGTCATCTTCCGGATTGTAAATAACTTCTCCACGAAAATCCCTTTTCATGGTCTTTGCATCAATGCCACCGTAGGTAACTCGTCCTTGAACAGCCTCGAACCCCTCTCTCTGGTTGCAGAACGCTTTGAGAAAGGTGGAACAGCCCGAACCTGGTCTTCCGAGAACCAGCAGCATCTCTCCAGGTCTGACACAGCCATCCAGATGGCTAAGAAGTTCTCGCACGGGCGGCTTGCCGACAGCCGCCTTTGCGCCTTTGGTGAAGAGGGTTTTGATCATTCGGGGCAGGCCGAGGAAAATATCGCCCACGGTGGGCTGAAGGATGGCGCCCAATCCGACACCTTTCACCGTCAAGTCGCGAAACACAACGCCGCTGTGGCGGGTCTTCTCTTCCTCGCTGTGCGCCTGTCGAGCTTTACCGAACATCCGGGACATGAGTTTCTCTATTTCGTCGTTTTCCTCTTGAAGCTGTGCCTCGGTTTTGCCCGAGGCGCTTGTTCTTCTACGCGACAAGACATTGAACAAGTCCTCCTCTGACTGGACGCTCCTGTGCTGCTGAAGGCGCCTGTCTTCAGATGTAGAGGCGGCCCTGAGAGGTTCAAACTTGGAGTCTGTTCTTCCTCCTGTGGAGCCGTCCGATGTGTCTGTTACTGAAGAGGCGGACGACATGCTGTGAGGATAGGCGTGCTCGCTTGTATCTTGGTATGATGCTTCCACTGGAGCATCGTGGGCTATGGTAGTCTCGCCAGACGAGGGAGTGTCCCTCGCGGCCTCATCAGGTACAGTCTGTCGACTTCTGTCATGTTCCTCGTGACTTGGAGGAACAGCCTCGTTCATGGATGAGACTAGTGAATGGGTAGCAAAGCGACTTGGCACGTCTGGAGTCGGCCGCTCAACCATGGTGAACGAAGGGTCATGGAGAGATTGTTGAAGTATGGATACACAAGGCAGAGACCGTAATTGAGGTGACCGCTATGGTGTGATGATAGTTTGTAGGAAGAGGAAGGCCATGGTGTGATAAGTGCGCGCAAAAGCCTGGAACAATGTACTTAGAGTCAGGTTAACCCGGCTCGGTGATAAGGCATGAGAAACATACTTGTTACTTGTAAAGTACTCGAGACGGAGCTCCATGGAGAAATGGGAATCCCCAGGAGGGCAATATCGAGGTGCGTAGTTGGTAGGGCGGAGGAAGCAGGAGCCATGCAAGACGCTACACTGGCCATTGAAGGCACAGAGCATGCAGCTGGATTACGTTGTTTGCCGCCGAAAGCCAATGGGCACATTGCTATTGTGCCCAATGGTTGGAGGAATCAAGAAATGTAGTTCGACTAGCCTCTGATGCTTTTGTCTCATGACGAGGTCATTGAGGTTGTTTTGTTCGTATCGGAGCTCAAATCCTCCGGATCCGGGAGAGTCGGAGAGCTTGAGTGATGCGGGCCCGACTGCGCCTCTACTTGTATACAGAGATATATCTCTGGAAAGCTGGGTAGCTGTTCCAGCACTGTCCTCCGTATCCGTACTCGTATATCCCATCAGTCTGGTCGTCATCGATTTCTTCATCTCCATCATCACCGGAACAACTCGGCCGAGGGGGTTGCCAGAGTCATGTCTCCCTTCCGATGGATGGGTAGTCCTTTCATTCGATGTGCGGGTAGGCGCTCGTGTCCTTGACGGTGCCTGTCTTTCCAAAAGTGGAGTGTGAGAACTGCTCTATACAGGTCGTCATGGAAGTAACCTAGATCAATGGGCGCTCACCGTTGCACCTAACCACGCATCCTTCGGAATCGGATGATCCACGCCTCCAAAACCCGGCGGCGCATCCGTCACCAAGATTTGTTGCTTGCCCAGACTAATTCAAGATTTTCCTCCCAGGAATCTGGGACCGCTGACGGTCCGAAAAGTTTGCTTGCCTTGCATTGGATCTCTCACCATTCAAGGCACGGTCGTGGTAGGTTTCTTCGCAAAGAAGTCACTCATCTTCTTCATTCCCGATACGTTGACCTTTTTCAGTTCGCGAACTCCTCTTGACTCTCCCAACTTCTTCTTCCTTTCTTCCTCCTCCTGTTTCCGCTTCTTCTCCGCTCTCGACTCAGCAGCTTCGTCATCTTCCAGTCCCCGCTTCCTGCTGAAATCCATCATCGATCTTGATGCCAGTGCTTCAGCTTTGAGAGTAGTCAAGGATCTGAGATGGTCTTCTAAGGGCGCGAAATTGATCACAGAATCTTGAGCAGCAAACCGAGCTCTCAGACGCTCTGCGATTGGACCTGGCAGGTAGGAGGCGAGGATGAAATCCAAGACAACCCGCTTTTTCTGTAGCTCGAACAGCTCCTTGGACACTGGCTCGGGGTCGACAGAGCTAATCGAATTCGTCGTGGAAACTTCGGAGAAGATGGCAGATTGAGCCGTGCTTGCGGCCGAAGATTGCGAGTCCAGATTGTCAAGTGCGAAATCGTCTTCATCCACTGGTAGTGGGCCTGTCTGAGTCGATCCGAGCATCTCCTCCCGCTTGACACTGAGTATGGGTGCTTCCAATACTCTTGTCACAAACTTTTCCTGCAAGCTCGCTGGCAAACCTCGGTTTATGGCGTTGTCCACTTTCTGAATGATGACGCGTAATGTCTTCTCTTCGCTAGGCCTATACATCTGCTGGCCCCCTGCCTCAATAGTATCGCAAAGCATTAACATGGCGTTCTCAACCATGGTTCGTCCATGTTCTAAGAGGTATCGTAGCTCTTTATCATCCTGTGTTTGCTGCTCCAGGAGATCATCGATCGGCTGAAACAAAGCCTTCCCGCCGGCTGCCCTTCCCGGCAAAACAAGAGGGACAAGGATAAAGACCAGGTCGAATGGCGCTGCCATATAGAAGTCTGCACTCATGCTTATGTAGCCCTTGCTCAATGACAATCCTCCTTGACTCTCATCTTGTAATCCTCCCAAGTGAGTTTGGAGGGGTTCGGGATGGCATGCAATGAAAAGAAGGCTTCGAGGATCCATCGTGGGCGCGCTGATCCTGCTGAAGTGGAACAGACCCTTATCGGGACAGAACAGAAATCTTTGTGCGCTCCCATCGCGGGGATGTCGCAAGAGAAGAAAGCGTGCTTGGTCGGATATATCTCTCGGGAGGATGAAATGTTTCAAGGGTTCTCGTTGTAGATTGGTGGTGGCTGCTGCAGTGTCTTCAAAAGGTTTCTTGACTGGACTAGCTGAGCTGGAACGAGTTGCTACCGGCATATCGACAATATAACAGCATTTGTCATTCACAAATTTTCTGTCGAGATAGGGTATCCGGTACACAGTCAGCACTTTGTACTCAAGACAAGGTAGTTCAAAGGACGTGGTCGAGGACCCCCCTCCGAAGTCTGGGTAATACTCCGTTGAGCAATGTGAGATAGTTTAGAACGCGCCTATCAGGCGCGTCAAGACGCGTCTTTGGCGGCCAATCAGGAGCACCAAGTTCGCTCCGCAGGCTTGATATCCTCAGTGTTGGCTCTGTGTTACTCTGCGTTCAATGGCCTTTTGACAGAGTCTTTATGGATGGAAAACACTTCCCATCGATGAAAGTGGTAAAGCTCACTCGCTCCGTCAATGTAGACAAACTCCCAACCCTCCCAACCCTCGAGGTCAACTGGTGACAAATCACCATTTGCCAGCCAAATGTCCTCGGACTTCGCCTGGCCTCCTGTCTCGCCTCATGCCGCGCTCATGAGCTCTCCGAGCGGACGCAAGAAGTACGAAGCCTACCAGAATGGCACATCCCCAACGAAGCGATCGGCAACGACTCCTAGTCTGGTCGACGGGCTGCGAGCAGCCCGCACAAACAACGACTTTACAACCAAAGGCGGAAGCACCGAGGAGGAGGAGGAAGAAGAAGAAGACGAAGAAGACGAAGAGACACTACAACTCCAATTGGCTGCAATAGAAGCGAAGTTGAAATTGAAGAAGTTGCAGCAGAATAAGGCCAGAGCTGCAACTCCAGCTGGAGATTCGTCCCGGCCAGCGTCTGCCCACGCACCATCTGCTTCCCAGGTTGAGGTGAAAGCCTCCCCAAGTAAACGAAGACAGGCACTAGTGTCAAAATCGCCAACTAGGGTTCTACTAGGAATTGACAAAGGTGTTCGAGGCGCGGATGTATCGCTACGCAGAGCCAACACTACAACCGGTAGTCATCGATCGACCAAAACGAACAATTCACTTCCTAGCAGTGACAGACCACCCTCTCGATGTTCGGCATTCAGCTCGGCGCGGTCAGCTGCTTCGTCTAGGTCTACCGTGAGGAGCGAGTCCAGGAAGACATTCAGCGAGCGAATGACAGAGGCCCGCCAACGTGAGACAAGCCTTGAACGACGTCGGGCCACAACAATTCAAAACCGCAGCAAAGGGTTCACCCTCGACCAGACAGAAATAGAGCAGTATAGATCAGCGGCAGAGGAATCTCGCAGTCATCAACCATCAAAGTCACCTCCCCGACAATATTTCGAGTATAGTCGCGATGAAGTCCTCCACGCCACATTGGGGGCTAATATGGGCAGTCGGCAACTCAAGAAGAGTCGAACTATGCCCAATCTCAAAACATCACCACCCAGGCATAATACAAATCGAGAGACCCAACTGGGAAGCGCTGTCTTATTCGAGGGTTTCTCTGAACTACACCTCTCTTCACGAATCCTGCCACATTCCTTCCTCAAACGCACCCTTCCTGTCGAGCAGTTTACCATCTTGCGCATCGCAGACCTCCTTAAAGTCGTCAAACCCCCTGCATATGAACTGCCCGAGTCTGTATGCGACTATGCCGTTTTTGCCGTCATCGCTTCCAAATCTTCGCCTATGGATCATAAGACAACCAACCCTGATAATGGCACAGTCGGAAGCAACGATTGGCAACGCCAATGGGAAGATGGTTCCCGCAATCACCGGCGCTTTATGGCTCTGACCCTCACAGACCTGACGTGGACCATCGACCTGTACCTCTTCAGCACAGCCCTCCCTCGCTACCACCGCCTCACACCTGGCACCGTCGTCGCAATCCTCAACCCAGGCATTCTGCCCCCGAAACCAGGGAAAGCCGATACCGGCGCATTCTCTCTTTCCCTTTCCGATGATTCCGACACAGTTCTAGAAATTGGCACAGCTCGAGACTTGGGATATTGCAAAACTCTGAAAAGGGACGGGAAGGAATGTGGAAGTTGGGTCAACGTCGCGAAAACGAACATTTGCGAATGGCATCTGAACGCGGAGATTAATAGGACCAAAGCCAAACGAATGGGTGTGAACACCGGCACGAATGGCTTTGGGGAGTGGAAAAATTGTTCAAAGACTTGGGATGAGGACGGCGAAAACAGGGGCTTATTGTCGAGGGATGGACGACGATATGATAGGGCGACCGAGAGCCATTATTATATCGCCAGCACAGGCCCAAAAAGTGGCGGACATGCTCGACGTGCAGGCGCAGGCCCACATCTTCTGGACAGCGACGATCCATTTCTGCCTGGTCAAGACGGTCAGCTCTCCCGCCCCAGCGACCGCGACACCCGTCTAAGGAAACGCCTCGCCGCACTGGCAAAAGAGCGTGAGATCGCGCAGAGACTCGGCTCGAGAGAGCACGGCGGCTTCGGTTTTGAGAGTGCCGGGGCCGAGTACATGCGGCAGAAGACGAAGGCGAGGACAATGGACGGCAACGAGGGAAAAGACAACCAGGATGCAAGGACCCTAGCTGCAGCCGCAGGCGCAGGCGAGACGCAAAGCCGGCGCTCTGGCCCTATCTCCGGAAGTATTCTCAACAGCATAGGCAGCTCCACAAATGAGAGTAGAAAGCGCACCGCCGCAGATGTGCGTCTGTCACCAGTAAAGAAAACACGCTTCGTCACCGAGAAGGGTATCAGAGAGGCAGGCAGGGATTCTCTTGGGGCCGCGGGTGGGCAAGGCCCTGGCGGTGGAGGTGAGAGCGAGAGCGAGGATGAGTTGGAAATTGTTTGAGTACCACTGGGGACTTGCTTGATCTGAGGTAATGGATGCCGTCGTCATGACCAAGACGGTACAATTACTATGACTTGGAGGCCACTGTCTCAATTTTACCTTGACAAACCCTTGCAGAAAAAGTTGCGTGAATGAATCCCAGTGTGCGCATTTAGTTGAACCTACATACCTTTTGTATCGAAACCGAAAGGAGGACTCCCGTGTCTCAAGCTCCTATTCCGGGCAGTTCGTCCCGGGCTCTGCTTCCTTTCCAATGGCTTTCCAACAAGAATTTCTTCGACTTTCGTCCTAGTGTCTCACGTCACCCGATAGGTACCCATCTCTCTCATCAGCTAGCTTACTGGCCGCTGCTCTCTTCTCCTTCGTTGCGCCTCTCTCCTTCGTTGCGCCTCTCTCCTTCATTGCTCTTCTCTTCTTCCTCGCTCGGACTGCCGTCAAACACTTGATCATCGATGTGAACAGGAAAACAGAAAAATGAACACTCACTAGCTTCCCCGACGGTTCTCAAGCGCCGCAATGTGATCATGGTATCTTCAAGCACTTTCAACTTCTTGTTCAGCTCTTGCCGTTCAGCAACTAACTCTGCAGATTCGCCAGCGATCCTGACTACCATGGCATCATCCAGTGTGAAAACGATGGCTGGCTTGAAGAGTTCAGGTAACTCATTAAGAAGACATTGTTCCACCGCGTACATACTGAAGGAGTCGACGATATTCTTCGGTGCAACCTATAAATGTTAATGGCGGAGCCTCTGCCATCAATCATTCAACTAACCTTGTAGTAGGCTTTCACGGTATTGATCGCGTCAATGCACGCAAACCTAGCCAGACCCAACTCTGTATCCTTTACGAGGGCATCCAGAAGCGCCCCCGTGTCCGTACTCTTGTTGTTTACTGTTCGCCGAAACACGTTCTCCAAAGTGTGATCCACTCTTCCTGTATAAAATGCCTGTATTTTCTCCGCTATTGCTTTTCGCTCAACTTCGCGGCACTTCTTCTGAAGACTGTCGGTGAAGCACCGATTGTATGTGATTGTATGGCCCTTCGTGTGCGTTCTGAGAACCTCTTCGACCTTTTTGTGCAGTCCGGTGATCATGGCTTCCATGTTCGGTCGAATAAGGTATCTCATTATCCCATCCCCAGTGACTGAATCAGAGATATGCTCCATGACCAGCCCGAGCGTAGCTCTTGCTGCAGCAACGAGTTTTCCTACCACTTCGTGAAGTAGGTGCTGCCACGGTTTGGATTGATCAAACAACAATTCGTCCACGATTGATAGATTAAACAGACCAGGAAGTTCACATACTCGGTTATGGCGCATACGAGCCTCAACGCAATCAAGGTATGCCTAGCGGAAAATGAGTTGGGGACCAGACTTAGTCTCTGACTGCCCATCTGTTACTTTGACGACAATCTCCTGAGCATGCGCTTCAACAAGTATTCTCGTAGCAGACACAGCCAGCATCTGTTGAAAAACAGGACGGAGACGTTTGTGGTAGCCCTTGTCAGTATCTGCGCTTGCAAAGAACGCATCCTCGTATGTGCCTCGAACGGAATGCTTGATGAGATCGACAAACTGCTGGCTTGCATGCAAAAGGTAGGCGCGTTGTTCAAGGAGTGAGCCCCGCGGAGCACCGAGCGACTTCAACCTGGCCTTGCAGATGGTCAATTCTCTCTCAACATCTCGCACTAGAGAGGCAAGTTCTGTGAGAGTTTGGCCGAGCAGGACACGGCTAAGCCGGGGGCGCAGGTCGTCAATCCCAAGTTGACTGTTGAGCAGCGCTGAAGCCTGAACGCGGGATTGCAAAAATTCCTTTTCCGTGGACATCCTCATTCTCTGCCAACTCCACAGGAGCGGCCTCAATGTCAGAGCCGGCAAATAAAGAGATCTGGCTTGGTGATAATACCCAATGTCCGCTCGCCCCTAGGGTCAATCTCGCTAGCGAGCTTGGTGATGACTTGATTTGCAAGGCCGTTCTTCGCCAAAACGACTGCCAAGATTATGCTCCTCTTACTCTTCATGTACGACTTGACCAGGGATTGCACCAGCTCAGCATCATTGTCCGACTGGGAAAGATTACCTGCCCAGAATATGCCCAGAAGCTTAACTAGGGTCAAATTTGGCTGGGTTGGGCCACAAAGCTCGACTCTCAAGATATCCTTTGCGAAAACAGTGTTTGTTGTTGTCTGGTCCCATGGCTTTTTCGGCAGATTTGACAATGTTAGAAAAGTCGGCGATCGAAGTCAACAGGGGAATGAAGTTTGAGAGGCATTCAGAATCTTGCTCTGCGCGATCCGCACTGGGAATGATGGTGGCAACAACTTGGGAGCAGGGCAACGTCGCAGGATGAGTTCAGTTGCGAGGCGGGTACAGAGATTTGTCTTTGGTAGGAAAGCGGAGGCCCGAAATCGCTTCAAGAACACTGGATTTACCGGAGCTTTGATCACCGCAGACAATGACCTGAGGCAGGTCAACATAGCGACTAATGCCTTGGAATCGAAGCGTGTCGATGAGGTTGAGAATCTCTTCATGCTCCGTGGTCTGAAGGTTGATTTGCGCCATCTTGGGGGAATCGTCGGGGCTGATGGTGGTAGCATAAGGGTCTTGTTCAGATCTGGAGCAGATCAGAGTGAAGGTAGGATGGGCTTTAAGAGCACGAGCCTTTTCCCGAAATATGAGGAGCGGTAGGGTGTTGTTTGCTCGTCCTGATAGCGAAGGTGAGGCAGAGCTGACCAGCGTCCCAGCGGGAAGCAAAGGTGCGCCGTGGCCTTTGTAAACGGCCTTTATTTGCCCCTCTTTACATTGTTGGTGTTTGATTTGACAGCTGTCTGCTTTGCGCGTGCCGGCGACATGGATGAGAGCCACTGCTTTGAGGAGACAACAGCCATGTTTTTGTCTGTTCCTTGTACAGGCGCAGTCTCGAATCTGCCTCCCGCAGAGCAAGAACAACCTTGATGGGTGTTTGCAGGGCAAAGGCCGTCTATTTTCGAATGAATAACACGCATCTGCGGTGTAATTAAAAGAGCATTCATCAGTTGCGGGTTTAGATAAATGGATAGCTTTTGACTTGTACTCGATACAAAGCTCAGTCAACGGCCTTGGCACCATTTCCAGCATTTCGCAAACATGGGAAACTAAACGCCTGAACAACGGGGAGAAACTGCTATCAAGGAAGATGTCCTTCTGCTATATATGAAGACATTATTGCAAGTACATATGCACATCATCATCTCAGACTCGGCGTACCTAGCATACCATCTTCCAGCTCTTCTTCCACCATGGCCAAGTGGCTTGAACTCTGCGCTCCTCCTCTAGAATCTCCATTAGATTAGGGACTTCTCTTCGCCCACTCGTAATATCAATCTCGCTGGTCCTTCGGAGTTTGGTCTTCTTCACGAGCTTATAGCCAACATACATGGCAATGACGATGGGGGCGGCAAGGTAGACTTCAAAGAAGCTCTCCACGAGCTCCGAAGCAGACATCTCGGCATAATCAACTGGTGCAAAGCCGGTCCAAAATTGCGCCACGAGAATCAGAATGTTCATGATTAAGCCCAACCATGAGCCGTACACTGTGGCTTGTGACTTGAAGGCGAGTTCGTCCAAGGTTCGGCCGGCAAGGCGCCAGGCGCTGCGAAAGCGGATGTGGCATAGACAAATTGTGCCCCTGAACGTCCAGATTAGTCGGAATACAGGCGAGTCGGGAGACCACCATCACTTACCAGGTGAAAATCGAAGCAAGGCCACTAATGGCAATCATCCAATTGAAAGCTTGAGTTGTGGTGTCTGGACCAGCCGCGACAATGTAACACAGAAATCCGATGAGGGAAGAAATAATAATAGCAACCAACGGACGGCCTTCGCGGTCGACATAGCCCAATATCTTAGGGGCTTGTCCTATATCCGCTAGAGCAGCCAGAGTACGGCTGGATCCATACACAGAGGAGTTTCCGACGGAAAGAACCGCAATGAGGATGACGACGTTCATGATAGAAGGAACCGCATCAATACCGGCGTTGCGAACGGCAATGACGAATGGGGAGGCGTTGGCGTCCGATGAGGAGCTGCCGTTCAAGAGCTGGGGGTCATTGTAGGGGACGAGGACGCCCACAATGGTGAGTGATACCATGTAAAACAGGGCAATTCTCCAGAAGACCTGCTTCACAGCAGTAGGTAGCGCGATACGAGGGTTCTCGGTCTCGGCGGCAGCCAGCCCTACCAACTCGGTTCCACTAAAGGAGAAGGCGGCTGTGACAAAAACGGAGCACAAGCCCTTGAATCCGTGATTCTAGGAGAAGATTAGTGAGGAAAGCAAGTTACGGAAAAAGGTGCTTGGCTTACAAAAGCACCTGGGTCATGCCAGTAGTGAGCGCCGATATAGCCTCGATGGTCCCCTGGGACACCACCAGTGTTGATAATAATCCCGAGGATGATGAAGCCAATGACAGCGATGACTTTTATGATCGAAAAGACGAACTCAGCCTCGCCGTAGCCTCTGACGCCGAAGAAATTGATGATGATGATGGCCACTAGGAAAATAGTTACCCAAGCGGCCCCATTGACATCCCGGCTACCCGGCCAGAATTCGAGTGTAAGCGACGCGGCGACAATCTCAAGCGGAAGAGTAACCAGCCATTGGAGGGCGTAGCTGGAAAGATGGTCAATCTCGAAAAATTTCGAGGACAAGAAGTACAACACTCACTTCCAGCCCATTGCGAATCCCCAAGCCTCATCCACGAATCTGCTAGCGTAAACAGAGAATGCTCCAGCGACAGGGTACTGCACCGCGAGCTCGCCAAGAGCATGGGTGGTGCAGTACAACGTGACGCCTATCAGGCCATACGCAATAATCAATGATGCAGGACCTCCGTTCGCAAGGGCGGACCCAGAACCCACAAAGAGGCCAGTTCCAATCGAACCACCAATCGCAATCATCTGCAGATGTCGTTGCTTCAACTTCATAGCCAAAGCCGGCTCGGCAGGAGGCTGATCTGGGAGCACCCTGCCATTGGCGTCAATAGCCTGGGCTGTGACCCGAGCATGGGGATTCCATTTGAAACCGTCGATGAAGCGACCGAACGAGGTGGGTGCTAGAGGGAATTCAACCTTTCCTTGAGAGAAGTCGGAGCTGCCACTGGGGCTGGCCGATATTGCTTCAATGTCCTTCTCCATTGTGGATCGTTTCGGGGTAATGATGGTAGGGGCGAAATCTTTTCACAAGTAGAAGCTGACGGTCCAAGAGGAGCACGCGACAGCAACATCTCAGGGCGACGTTGATATTAAAATACACGAAAGAGCCGGCGTTATGCGTTAATCGTCGGCCACATTCGATGACCTCTGATGTCGGATAACGAATAGAAACAACGACAGAACACAGCCGAAGCGGAGTATGTGAAAATTTTGTGGATTGATAAATGTCGCATATCGAAAGCATTGGGGCAAACAGGGATGTTCTGCAAGGCTACATTACCACCTGGCCATGCCGCTGTCCCGCTTTAAGTCAGCAAAATCGCTGATGACTTCAATGGCACGCCACTAGCACACAATCGGCATCTGAAAGGCTTGATCCTTGAGTTCTAGTTGCCCATAACAGTAGGATAGACACGGCGAAGTGGAGCTGCGGATGGTTTGCCGAAGGGCGTGAGGTTGCAACCACATCGCTCCAAAACCAGGGTGATGTTTGCGATAAGAGCTGAGCAGGACCCGACAAGAGCGGCCGGAGCTTCAACGGAACAACCACAAAAGCCCTCTTTTGGAATTGTTGTTGAAAGTTCCCGCGGCGAGCTCAGCGGAGTTTGCGAGACACCAGTACTGGGCAATCCTGGGTACGGAGTACCAAGAAAAAGAAAAAGAAAAAGAAAAGGAAAATTCTTCACGGGGCGAAATTTCCCCGGAACAAGATCGGGACAAGGAAAAACTTTGTTCCAAGCCAGTGAAAATTCTCTTCAGCCTCGCATGCAACTGAGCGGACAAGGTACTGCGATTCTGTGCCTCCTCACGCAGAACTGATTGCACAACCCTGAACACGTTATCCTATCTCCAAACCATGCCAATAGATACAGAAAGAGCTTCCACCCTCAGTATCCAACGGACTGAATCATATCCCGCAGTTTGGAAATGTTCTCCCAGTTTTTCTCCGGGCGTCGAGCAGGATCGACCCTCGGATTTCACTCCTCTTGCACACGTTTTCCTCTGAACCCCGACCGCTTCAAGCCGTTGCTATCGACAGCTTCACATCCCTTCTTCCCGACGCGGTCGCGTTGGCTTTTGATGCTATTGATCATTGGGCGTGCTTTGATGTGGCGCCAGGCAGCAACAGGGTCTTGACCAATCGGTATAAGGTAGGTTGGGACCAAAAGGCGAGCGCATCGTATTGTATACGAAATGCTGCATTCTTGTCAATACAAAGGAGATATGTTCTCGGCCTCTTTCCCTGGAAACTATCGTCTCTCATATCTCATTTCCTGACAACTTGGCTCAGAGATCAAGACTCTTGAACTTCCCTTTGGAATTTCCGTGGTGCGCGGCGGTTCAGAGCATCCGACAACATGTCAGAAAAATGGACTCCTCCTAAAGACGGCACGCCATGCTGGATCAATGTCCTTGCTACTGATGTACAGCGAGGTAGGATGCTCATGTGCCTTGCAAGTTGTAACCGTGGTTGTCATAGCGCTGATGCATCTCCGGCACCACCAGCCCAAAAGTTTTACAGCACTGTCTTCAGCTGGCGCTTCAACCGTCCAACAACATCGGAAGGCCGTGCGCTTGACCCTGCTGAGATTGCCATGTTCGAAGTCCCTGGAGGACCCTGCCCAAATGGGGGCATTACACGGGTGAACCAATCCGAGTGGACAGACTCGCACGGCAAAGGTGGAGTCGTCCTGTATTTGTACGTGGACGAGATCCAGTCCTACGAGGAAGTGAGCTCTCATCCGTGTCGTGCGGTCTCAGGTTCGAGGCTGGTTCAAGTTCGACCGAGCTGACACATTTCTGGCGTGAAACAGAAAATTGTAAAAGCAGGTGGAAAGAAGGTGACTGATGTTGTTCCAGAAGGGAGTCAGGCACTTATGCAGCATTTCGAGGATACCGAGGGGAATTATTTGGGCATTTACACTATGAAGAAGCAGTGAGATTGAAGGGAAAGGGGAAATGAAGCTCATGGAGGAGAGCCTTACGCAAGCTTTGCTCACCACAATCAATTTGCCACCAGTGGTGCTGGCGGCCTCTGCGATAGCTTCAACAGCTTCGCAAACCATTCATTACAGATGGAGGTGGATAGATATCATGGACTACATTCACTCGGCAGCCACTGAGTGAGGGTGGGCTCCTGGCTGCAGTTTGAGCATCCCAGGTATACTGCCACATTGATTGTGCTTAGCAAGTCACCCGCCCTCTGTCGTCTGTCTCGAAAGTAGGCGCGCTGAAACGAGCATCAGCCTAGACCAAGGCGAAGACGACTGTCACTTTTCCGCAGTATAGAAGCTTATGGGCCGTAGGGTGGACTATATGGAGCATTCATAGGTGGACTGGGGAGGGACTATTCTGGAGGTCGTTCGGATGGAAAGGCCAGACAGGAAAGTCACGACGTTTCAAAGGAGGTCAGTGGTGGATGTAAAGAAGGCAAAATGCTCCTCCCCGTGTCAATAGAGCATCTTTCAGCTTGAGAGTGAATACCGAGTACTTGTCTGCTGGGGATACCATTGGCCCAGATGGAATGGGTGACAAGTGAGACGCAGAAGAGTAGCTACGAGTAGGAGTCTTGATTGGAGGGGGGGGGTGGAGGAGGCGTGTGGTGTGTGCTGTGTGCTGTGTGGTGAGGTGCAGGTGGCCGGGGGGAGAAGCGAAGTGGTTGGTACCTAGGTACTCGGTACTAACCTCGAGGAACTGGCAAGTTCAAACGCAACAACCTACAAGTACAGTACTTGTACAACATACTGGTAAGTTGTGCACTCCGTAGATGCCTCCTAAGTACCTAGTCCCTAGGGTATCTGTCTAGATAAGTGAGGTACCTGTGCTGTTTGAATCTTTTGATCAACCTACCTGTTGCCTCATTCTGCTCATCGTGTTTACTTCGAGGTTAACGGCACTCCACATGGTCGTCATCTTCCTCACCTGGCACCATGGTAATTTCTTCTGAGACTCGGTAAGCGAGCGCCGTCTAGTCCTTCACAAAGTTCCCTCTACACATTTTAGCTGCAGGTCCCGACGGAGGGGATGGGCCTCGAGCCATCCGCGCCTATCAAGGCTCGTCGGGGGTGCCTGAGATTGGCCGCCATTAGCCCACAAGGCCGAGGGATCTCTAGCTGGCCACTCCCACGGACGCTGCACAGACCCTCTGGTGACTACCACCTGCGCAGCGCCGCTCCCCGCGCGTGGCAGCTGAACCTTCAGTACCTTTAACTCCCTGCGGCCTTGGAAGGCGCCCGCAGGTGACCAACCAAAGCCGCCGCCTTCCTGTGCTTTTCCCGTCTTTGCTCTTTTTCACACTTCTCTTTCAGTGTTCACACTTGCGCCCTCCTCCACCAAACACTACTCGACTCAGTAGTACCGCTACCAAACTGTCCGCTCCCTCAAACTTCTCTCTCACTCTCTCTACTGACATTTGCAACACGTCATTCTTTCCTGCGATCATCGCCGTCCCGGCTCTGTCGTCCTATGCCCTGTACCTTTGGACGAGTTTCCGAACCATATCCGCTTCCATCCTTATACGGAGCAGCTCTTTGTCGCGTCGCAAATGAGTCCTGATTGCCAAACTCGAGTCGATTGATTTGCCGATCAGATCAACTGCGCCGTATTATACCCGTCACACAGCACTCAGCCAATTGCCCTTTGGTTGCCGCCGCTGATGCCATGAATTCGTTCGCTGTTGCTGCCAGTTCCAAACCTTTCCTTCGGGCAGTTTGCGCATGACCATGATTCTCGATATCCAACGTGGACACCATCGCTGATGCAATGGCCACCGCTATGGTCGCCTCTGAATCCTCCCTCAGCAGTCGTGTTTCCTTGATCTCACTCGACCCAGCGGTTGCTAGTCACATCACCGGCACCACAAGGACCACGACCGTCCCTTCGGCATCGCAATATGGCTCTAGCCCGAGGAAAAGAACAAAAACACCCGACACTGACATCTCCCGCACCCACATGAGAAACAACTCTGCTCCTAGTGTTTCGGACAAGAAGGCACCGACGTCGTTGAGGCGCGTCAAGGATAGCACAGAGGTCTTGAGACAGCGCTCTACAAAGTCCTCCAAAAAGGCAAAGCAGTCGCTGGAGACAGTCCCTGACAATGTCCACGGTCGCAACTTCACCGTGGGTAATGTGGGAACCGGTGGCATTCTCTACTTGACTCCGTCAACACATCAAAAGGCAAATGGATCTCCACACTCCATCATCTCACCAGTGTATTTGCCGTCGACGGCTCCAGCAATCCTTAGTAATGGCGACCAACGGCCACCATCGAACGAAAAAGCGCCAACCGCCCGGTCCGTGTCCTCTTCCCACTCCCATCGAACGGCCTCCTCGAAACGTTCCGTGAGACCTTCACCGAGGCCCAGGGTGTTGTTCCCCAGCCACGGCCGATCCCAGTCCTTCTCTACAATTGAAGAGCATCGCCAGTCCTTGCTGGGTCCACAGTCGCGGACTCTGAGGATCGTTATCAATCGCCCCGAGACCGCGAGACCGAAGACATCGCAGGAATCCACCGAAGAACCGACTCTAGAATTCCTCCCTACACTAGAAGTCCCTATTCCACACTATCGTATTGGTACTTTCCGCCTCAGCTCCAATGGGACTCCAATGCTGCGGGGATCCTCCTTCACAAGGGCCTCTGTCACTCCTTCAGATGTCACGCCTACTCAAGCAATCATGCAAGCAGAGGGCTACTTTGCCGCACCCCCACCTGCCAGCCTCAAAGCCTTCACAAAACTCGAAGCCAAAGACACAAGCGTCGTAGAGCAGCCAGCTCCCACCACTCCCCCCATGCCACCGCTCTCCAAAGCTACGTCCGCAACGACTTCCAGCTCGCCCAGCCCCGTCCAACCCAAGGTATTTGACGATTTGACTGATATGTATGATGACCCCTCCGTTGTCCGGTATTGCCAGAACGCGAGGGAAATCACCGCAGCCACTCCTGCTCGGATCATTGCTCAGATCTCGTCGGACTCTTTCATGGACTATGAACTGGTCTCCGACTTTTTCCTGACTTTCCGATCCTACATGTCAACCTACCAAGTTCTTGATCTTCTCCTCGCAAGATTGAGATGGGCTATTGGTCGCTTGGAAGATGACGGGAGGATTATCCGCGTGCGCACCTTTGCCGCCCTTCGTCATTGGATTTTGAATTATTTTATGGACGACTTCTTTGTTGATCACCGCCTTCGGCTACGTTTCTGTAAGGAGGTCAACAGACTTTACAACGATGTCAAGGCCAACCCAGAGAATGGGTTTAGCGACCTCAAACTCATACGCGACTTAAAGCGGTGCTGGAATGGGCGATGCTCATTATGCTGGGGCCCGGGGAACTTTGACCTTGATGGGGAGCAGGAGGACGACATTCAACCCGGAGAAATAACTGACACAGACTGCACACCCAGGCCACTGATCGGTGTTCAGCCTTCTCTGGCTCAACTTGACCCTCCTCAGGCTCCGGTTCCACGAGGGCCGCAACAGAGTTGGTTCGAAGCAGATACAGCTGTTAGGCCAAGTCATGATCGTCAAATGTCAGACAATTCTGGTCTCCTGAGTGATGGCAGTGTTCAAGCGACTTCTTGTTTCGTTCCCAAGCACATTCTGCGCCCTAGTGGTGGGGGAGGAGAGGGGCATTCAAAGGCTCCTCATCCAGTCTCTGTTCAGTTGAGGCGAAAGAATGCACCTGCAAACCTGCAAGTGGTCACCCAGCCCGCACCACCTTCAAAGGCGCTCGGCCATAGGAAGGGGGCAAGCTCTATCGATAGCAACAGAGAGCCAACACCCCGCAAAACACAACCCGAGGATCCTGCTCAGGTTGTCGAAGACGGAAGTATCATCCGAGGACTTCTTTACAGTCCAAGCACTCCTTTCGTCCAGATTGTGTCGTCCCACTCCACTCAGTCACTTGACAGACACGAAATGGGAGCCTTACGAGGAGGACCTAGAAGAGAGCATGGTATACAATCAGCCACTCCGCCGGTTGCGAGAAATATCTTTGGGTCTTTGCGAAAAGTCCTTGGAAGTAAGCACGGTCAGATTGATATGACCCTTCTCACTGTTTCACAATCTCCTCAAGACGTACCGATTCGAGGGCAAAAGGCACATTTACCCCTCAATGTGTCCAAATCTCATGATGAGCTACGTAACAAGCCGGGCTCTGGTATACCCAGAAAGGGCGAAATGCGCATTGATCTTCTCTCGGCCGCGGCGTGTCAGAATTATGAGACAAAATTTCCTTCGAAACATCGAATCAGTTACGCGCCCTTCTTTGCTATCAACCGCCCTCTTCAGCCAGCCATGTCTGCGGGAGATGAGCACGAGCCACACCGTATGCCAAGTCATGCGACTCGTCAAAGCGGCTCAATTTTGATAGTCGATGATACCCGCCCAGATTTTCCATCAATGTCTGGCGCGCTTCCAGTACCTGAGAATGATTTCGACTACGGAGAAGCTGCTCCTGTGCCACTGCTTAGCGTTCATAATGCGACACTACTGGATGATCATAAAGCAAGTTTTGACGCGGTTGCGACGCAGAGGAGCTCAAACGTCCTTCCACATGATATAGATCTGCCACCATCACAGGAGAGCAGTGGCATTTTGGAACGGGCCATAACAGACGCGACCAGACCAGATGACAGGTCTGAGGCCCAGTTCGACATATCAGCCGTGGTTGAGAGAGCACATTCTCCTACGACGGCCAGCTCCAGAACTGTTCGAGAGGACATTAAGCCCGTCGATGCTGACGCGACTGCCGAACTTGTTATTCAGTCTGAAAAGGCACCAGCTGCGGAAAGCACGGAGGGCGAAGATGGCGAGGGGTATGATTTTGATTCGGAGGTGAGATTACCAACGCAGACTCTAAGGCGGAGACCGGGAGGAGACTTGCGTCGGGTTGAAAACGTCCAAGAGTTGGACCATTCATTTCACCATACTTCACTGGATACGGCCAGCGCACTGTCTGAATCACCTCATGGGTCATTACTCATCATGAAAACAGACACTGTCCAGCGCGTTCCTTCGCCAGATGATCCACCGCCAAATAAACCGATCTCTCTGATCAATACCCATTCTTCCCAGCACCTCCGGCCTTCTTTCGAGGCAGCTGTTGCCGGTTTCTCTGCGATTCCCGACGACGAAGATGGCGGACTTGAGGCAACTTTAATGAAGCTTGAGGGTCGTTACGAGAAGAGATCACCACCCATGGAACAGCACCCGCTTGACGCTACTGCCAGACGGCGATCACTTCCAGAGCTGAGCCGGATGTCTCAACCAGAGCCTGACAACTCCGTACAGGCAATCAAGTATCCTGCACCAGCTCCTGCTCTATCTGCCGACGTTCGCACAACAGTGGACGAAGTTGCCTCAGAAAAATCCGCTGACGAACCGCTTACGCCGGAGCCCCTGGTGGAAGAAGTGAAGCCAGCGGCCTCCCGTAGGTCCTCCATCTACGGACTCCCAACCGAAAGCGTAGCCGATTCTGATGAGTCTTATGGCTCTCTGCCATTGTTGAAACGTGAGACAGGCTACGAGAGTACTGCCGAGCCTCTGCCTATGAAGCCAACAGCAGACTTACCAATGATCGCTCCAGGTTATTTTCCGCAAGACCCCCCTCAGCTATTTCACCTACCCAAAGGACCTCCACCAAGCGGAAATAAACATAGAGCCAGCATTCCACGACCGGAGACCGCCAATGACAGTGCTCGATCATTCCTGCTGGACGAGGATGAGAATCTTTCGGATCTATCTTCGGAGATTTCCGTGGACATCATCAATTATTCAGAAGTTGCAGGCCGTTCTATTTCGCCCATGCTCGCTGCCCCTGGAACAGCTATATCTGGACTGGAGATACCAGCACACCCATTGACCTATGCGTCCGTGGTGAATCTTCGTATACCCACTCCACCAGAGCTAGCATCTGATCCCATTCCACAGACCAACAACCCACAAGTCAACAGTTCGTCGCACAACGATCAGCAGGCCCCCAAGCAGCATGACCTATCATCTACTCAACCGTTAGCGCGTCTGCCGGCAGGTCCGGCGCACATGCCTTTTATCCTCGCTTGCGATTCGCAAGTCCTTGCCCAGCAAATGACTCTGGTAGAAAAGTCCGCCTTGTCCGAAGTGGAGTGGTCGGATCTGGTCGAAATGCGCTGGGATAACAAGACGGCCGAAGTGCTGGATTGGGTTGAGTGTGTCTCTAATGGGAACGTTCGAGGAATCGACTTAGTCAGCACACGCTTCAATCTCGTTGTCAAATGGACCTTGTCCGAGATTGTTTTGACGCAGGATATTCATGAAAGAGCTCGAGTCATCACCAAATATATTCATGTCGCAGCACATGCTCGTCGGCTGCACAATTATGCGACAATGCTGCAACTCACACTTGCCCTGACATCCACTGACTGCACACGACTCGCAAAGACATGGGATTTGGTGTCAAGCCCGGACAAATCCTTATTGAAGCATATGGAAACACTCGCGCAACCTTTACGTAATTTTCACGATCTTAGAATGGAAATGGAATCGGCTGATCTCAGCGATGGCTGCATTCCTTTTCTAGGTTGGTGCTCTCGGTTACACCTGGAGGCCCGCATGCTAACTTCTACAACAGGATTGTATATTCGCGACTTGACATATAATGCACAGAAGCCCTCTCACGTTGCAGGTGCTCGCGGGACCGAGTCTCTGGTCAACTTCGAACGCTACAGGAGTACGGCTATTATTGTGAAGGGGCTATTACGGCTCATTGATGCCAGTTCAAGGTACAACTTCGAACCGATGCAGGGAATAATCGAGCGATGTCTCTGGTTGGCCGCTCTAGGTGATGATCGAATACGCAGCGCAAGCAAGACATTGGAAAACTAATCAATGAACATATTGGATATCGAGTGAAGCATAATGGCCGGATCGGATTCAGTCTGGATGAGCTGCGAGTCAGCTAATTCAGGTTTATTACCGCATATCTATTCCCAGTATTTTAGCGACGGGCTCTGTTAACCTAAGCGGGCGTGTCTCTGTTTATTGAGTTGTCTGGACGTTTTGCACTTGGGAAGTCGCTCGACATATTGGAATGCCGGTCACAGACAAGGATAGTTTGGCTCTAGCGTGGTGTTGGGGAGACCATGGACAAAGTAGAAATATGGAAGGATCAAGTCTGAAGCGATTCAGCACTAGGCCGGGAATCACACAAATATAATCTGGGGACTCTCGAGGCTGCCGAATTCCTATCTCAAGCAATCGGGAGACCACTGACCACGACTGGGCGGATGCTGTGTGCATCTCTGCTGAATGGTGGCAGGCGACGTTCAAGCTGTCAGTTTCTCTGCAATGCCAAGCCATTGCTAAAGAGTTAAAGGGCTTTGAGATGGGGGAATCGCCTAGATTCATCTTCGCGCATGGAAGTTTGATCAAGCACCCCTTATGCAACGCATCAATCTCCTGGAACTATTAGCAGACCTTCCACCCAAGAACCTACCAGGTATGTTGTTGAAACATTCTTTGCCTGGTATGCCTCTAGACACCACCGTCAATCACCCACTCCCGGGACCAGGACCATCACTAGAGAGCTCTCTAGTGAATTTGTTCTCATTTTTTTTTCGCGTTGAACTGTTTCCCTCCTGGCTCTGCCGACTGGGGTCCCCTAACTCGGCGCGAAAGGTTGGCCAATTCCTATTCTGAACAGCTGAAAAGACTAACTCGTCTCCATCTGATATGATTCTATCCCGGTTGTCTATGGCATCATCAGGCTATACCGATGGCATCATTTCAACATGCAATCTCAACCCAATGAGGTGTCTAGTATCGGCAGACGACTCCGCATCTCGTCAGAGTAGTCCCCTTTCATTCCAGAGAAATGGTAATAAATGGGGGAGCATTCCGATGTTTCCATCGAGTACAAAGACTATCCCCTAGCCAGGAGCATATCCAGCGTTTCGGGACGAAGCCCTTCTCCAACGTCCAAGCTTCTCCAAGCTTTTCTGGATACAATAGCCCAAAAGCTCTCGGTGACAGACGACAAGGGGGTGTCGAACATCCCAGTGGTCTCAGAGACGCAAGGTGACACTACGATCCATGTCGTCCCTCGTGGTGAAGAAATTGCAGATGTCTCTTCCCTCGAGAACGAAATCGTAGGCTACGACGCTGAACGCATGAAGGCTCGCACTCTCCTGACTAAGGCAGAAGAGGCGAGGCTCATGCGTAGAGTTGATATGCACCTCATGCCACTGTGCAGTATTATGTTCCTACTCAAGAATATGGACTATCAGAATGTCACAGCTGTCCCCCCCTGTTCTCGTATAGAGCAGACACTGACTCAGAGTGTATAGGCGGCCAATGCTCGAATCATGAACAAGGGGACTGACCACAACATCCTGACGCAACTCCATATGAGCTCGAACGATTACAATTTCATATCTACTATTTACTATGTGAGTGGGCCACTCCCTCCAATGCTTCGTCTGAGTACTCATTTCCCATTGATACCTTATATCATCTTCGAGGCTCCAAGCAACTTATTCATCAAGAAGATGCTTCCTTCTCGATGGCAGTCCAGGATTATGGTAAGATTGATGAGCCACCCTTACAATCCACACCAGAACGCTGATTCTGCTGCAGGTCTCTTGGGGCATTGCGATCGCCTGCCATGCTGCAGTTACGAGCAAGACCGGATTGTATACAGCTCGTTTCTTCCTAGGAATGTGTGAAGCAGGCATGTTTCCCGGCGTGTTACTGCAAATGGTGTATTGGTACCGTCCCGACGAGATGTCGATTCGTCTCCTCTACTTTTATGCGCTGGGAAACTTCTCCAATGTCATTAGTGGCGTGTTGGCGTACGCTTTCGACACGATCTCTGGTAGGGATGGACTCTCTGGATGGCAATGGTGAGATTTAGAATGCCTTTTCCCCCAGACAGAAAGGGAAAGTCGACTCATTGATGTTTCTGCAAGGCTCTTCCTCGTCGAGGGTGTGATCACAATTGCGTTCGGCATTTCGCTGTTCTTTATGTTGCCAGACTGTGAGGATCGGAAACCGTTCAAAGAATTGTCATTAACTAGTCACCTAGTCCCCAAGCAAGCCAAGTGGCTCAGCGAGAAGGAAAAGGCATTCATTCAAGCACGCTTGCCCGCCAACGCGCCTCGAGCGGAAGAGCTTAATTTCAGCTTCCGTGAAATTGTCACAGCATTGAAGGATAAAAGGATGTGGCTCTTTACGATGGTTGGGCAACGATGACTGTTGGCACGACGGTTTGACGTTCTATCAGCCGACTGTCATTGCGAATTTGGGATTTACGTAAGTACCTGAAGCTTGTCAACAGTTATCCATGGTGCTCACTCCCTTCTCCCACAGGTCAATTGCGAAAAGTCAACTCCTGAATATCCCTACTTCATTTCTTTCCATCATGATAATTGCCATCTCGGGATACTTTGCGGACAGTGCCTGGCTGCCTCGCCCTATAATCCCCTTGGGCTTCCTGGTATCTATTCTGGCATGCTACAGCGTGCTATACACCTTTCCTAACAACGGCGGCGTCTACGCGGCAACCGTCCTGGCCAATTCCTTTGCGCAGAGCTGGTACCCGCTGATGTGGCCGTGGCGAGTCCAAACCACCTCTCGCGCAACGGGTTCCGCATTCGCCATCGGATTTGTGAACAGCTACGGTCAAATTGGGGGGGCGGTCGGACCGCAGATCTTCCAGTCCAAATACGCACCACACTATACCGTGTCATTCGCTATTGCTATGGCGATTATCGGAGGATGTCTCCTGGTCACCTGTATTACGTGGTGGGTAACTAGGGAGACAGAACGGCAGACGAGGAAAATCAAGAAGCTGCGCATGAAGGCGGCGAAGAGGGGCGAGTCAGTGTTGGACGATGTGGACGCGAGTGCCGATGTGAAAAGGAAAGAGGAGGTGCGCGAGGCAGCGTAGCCTCGTACATTGCCCCGAGACAGCGTGGAATTGTTGTATAGAGTCTAGAGGCGTGGCTTAGACTACCTAGTTTTCCAGGCGACAAAGCGGCAGAAACAGAAACTATAGCAAAATTCAAAGTCAGGCATCTACCTGAAATGGAGTCGCCTCTCTTCGTCCCTCGATGAGTGTAATGATGTCCTTGCCATAAAGAAGTTGAAGTGAAGCACGCTAGTAGCATGACCAGATTCAACAAGGTTTTGGCCATCCTCTGTACGACCGCTCTGGCATAGTTTGAAATTGAGGATACGCTGCAACTAATAAGAACATTCCACAACGACGAGGTGGCTGCCGAGTCGAATATAGCAACAGCATAGATAAGGACGGAGTGCTCTTATTTCCAAAGGCAAGCAAAATGTCCTGACCCAACGAATCACTTCTACCTTGTGGGCCGTACTGTCATCACTGGCTGCCTTTCTTGCGCCCTCTGGCAGCTCGTCAATGGAGTCCGCCGCGCGATAGTATTTGTTTGGTTACTACTAATCCTTCCTACCTAGACTCAGCTCAACGGGATTTGACATTTAACCTGTATCATATTCGACACTGCCGAGGCGCTGTCGGATTCTGTCTATCCGCCTTGCCGCCCGCCTCTTCCGAGCCGAGGGCAACCACGGGAGAAAGAACTTTAGATAATAAAACCCCCGATTTTTTGGAAAATATAGTGTCGTAGGGCGCATAGCTCAGGGGTAGAGCGCTCGCTTTGCATTCTCCTTACATCGCATGCGAGAGGTCGTGGGTTCAATTCCCACTGTGTCCAGTACCAGTTACCCATAATCTCGGTATGAAATGCATATCCATTGTTGGAACCTAATTTTTTTGTCCCTTTCCTCTCGTTCTTCTTTTTTGAGCTCCGCATGCGATTCCATTGCTCTCGGCAAAGCTTCTGAAAACGATGCACGGAGCGCCTACAAGTATATTCCCTACTCCTTGACTCGGCTGAGCTCTCATCACGTGTCCCCGCATTCAGCCTGACCAGTAGTCGTAAGCCTGGCCCAAAAGTTTATTTTTATTTTTGTTTGGCCATGTAATATCCCATCCCTTTCACCGGCCTGCATGTGCCATCAAATCATTGACTGTTAGACAATTCGATTTCTCTTCGATACTAGCTTTCATGAACGGCACCAAAGTTGGCCCGTCCGTGGCCGATATGGCCAACATGTCCACCGAAGAGAGAATGGCGGGGATGGAACATTCTGAAGTTCGCTACTTTACGAGGTATGTCTAGCGGGGGGATGACAATGGTGTTGATTGACCGAAGCCATAGTTACGATCACCATGGAATCCACGAAGAAATGCTGGTACAGACAAAAAATCCATCTGTGTCGAATTGCAAGCTGACCCTGTCTCAGAAAGATGAAGTCCGAACCCGGTCGTACCGAGACGCCATCTACCAAAATCAGCACCTCTTCAAAGACAAGGTCGTTCTTGATGTTGGCTGTGGCACCGGCATCCTCAGCATGTATGCGTATCTTTCCTCGCGACCGCAGAGACACGAGTTGACAGCGCCAGGTTTGCCGCAAGGGCAGGTGCAAGACATGTGATTGGCGTGGACATGTCCAGCATCATCAATAAGGCAAGACTCATTGTGGAGACCAACGGGCTCTCTAAGAAGATTACTCTGCTGCAAGGCAAAATGGAAGAGGTGGAACTGCCTGCTCAACATCTGAACAACGGCAAAGTCGACATCATAATATCAGAGTGGATGGGTTACTTCCTGTTGTATGAGAGCATGCTTGACACAGTTCTCTATGCACGCGACAAGTATTTGAGACCGGGTGGTAAGATATTTCCCGACAAGGCCACGATCTATATGGCGGGCATTGAAGACGGAGAATACAAGGAGGACAAGATCGGATGTAAGTGCATTCAAAATTCAGGCATCGGGATGCGGGCTGACTCCTTTTCAGTCTGGGATAATGTTTATGGATTCAACTTCTCGCCTATGAAAGAGAGCGCCCTGACTGAACCTCTGGTCGATACTGTCGAGCTCAAAGCGCTGGTGACCGACCCATGCCCAGTCTTCACCATCGACCTCAATACGGTCAAGCCGGCCCAGCTGGCATTTTCGGAGCCATTCCAACTCCGATGTCAAAGAAATGATTTCATCCACGCTCTTATTGCTTGGTTCGATATTGACTTCACGGCATGCCACAAGCCAATCAGATTCTCCACAGGCCCCCACACAAAATACACCCATTGGAAGCAGACCGTCTTTTATCTGCGACAAGTTCTGACCGTGGAGGAAGGAGAAATGGTCCAGGGCTTCCTTTCCAATAAGCCCAACAGCAAGAACAGACGAGATCTTGATATCAAGATCGACTACGAACTCGAAACGTCAGACCCCAGACGATCCGCTCGCGGGACATGCGAGTACAGGATGTAAGACTCCGTAACCCTAGTATAACCGCGCGTTACTTATTGATCATTTTCAGGTGCTGATGTGGGATGACGGCGGGAATGCCATGCATGCCTCGCGTTTTGTTCGGCTTGGTCTTCAGGTCTGCATTCTCCCTGCATAGCACCTTGGAGAGCACATAGCGTAGACTTTTAAAGGACGACACATATGGATGAAACACCTCGTTTGCGATGAAAAAGTGGCCATGATGTTACCGGGAACGAATCCAAGCTCCTCGTTCTTTGTCTAAGATACCCCACGAGTTGATGCTGATTTTGATAAACGAAAATTCATAATGCATTTTGCCGCTAGATGTTATGGCGCCATCAATGAAGCTGACGCTTTGTATTGATTGCGAGATGTAGCTGACCTGGGAGGGTGTCCAAGGGTGTCTTCGATCTTGGCTTGACAGATGTGATGTGATGATTACTTTCACGGCCTCGATGGTTCGCCGGCTATCTGCATTCTCGACATACAAGTACCTCGGCACGCGGCTCCCCCACGTTTACTAGTACGACCCCGAACTTGAACAAAAGCTGACCAGCCTGCCGCAACTATTTCCTCTCCTATATTATTGTCTGAAATCTTCGGAGCTGCTCAGCTTGTGGGTTTGCTCGAAGCTCACCTTCTTGCTTCCAAGGTTTCCGAGGGCTGCATCAAAATGTCGGGTCCAGGTGTTGGCTTCGAGTATCCCCCGACCGAGGTGTCGTGGTTGAAAAGAGACGTGCTGCTCTTTGCCGTGAGCATTGGCTGCACGGTGGATGAGCTGCATTTCATCTACGTAAGTGCCAGAAAGATAGACACCTACAGTACACAACGCAGCTCTGATTGACAGTCATCCAGGAACTCCATCCTAACTTTGCCGTGTTTCCCACATATTCAATTATCCTTCGTTAGTCGCGTCCCCTGTGCTTGCTTGCTCGCCGCACTCCCGAACTCACCAATATACTAGCATTCAAGAAGACCACACAAGAAGTGATTGACTTCTATGCTGCCCAAGCCAGCAACCCGATTCCGGGAGTTCCCAAATTGGACGCAAAGCGTGTCGTCGACGGCCAGCGCATGATCCAATTCCTGAAGCCTCTTCCTCCTACGTCCGAGGGTCGGAAATTCGAGCTGCGGTCCAAAGTAATAGGAGTGTACGACAAGGGCAAGCCAGGCACTGTCGTCGAAACCGAGCAGACCATTGTGGACAAAGAGAGCGGTGAGGTGTACACACGGGCGGTCGGCTCCGGCTTCTTCGTTGGCCAAGGAGGATGGGGTGGCCCCAAGGGACCTACGACGGTCAACTATCCACCACCGAAGGGCAGAGAGAACAGTCCCGATAGAGTCAGCGAGAAACAGCTGACTGCGGAGAGCGCGCATCTATACAGGTAAGCAGCTCCAACCTGGTTCGACACAAGCCACTGACACCGAGTGACCCCAGACTCAATGGCGACTATAACCCACTCCACGCGACACCCGAACCTGGTCAGAAGATGGGTTTCGGAGGAGCTATCATGCACGGGCTGTCCACCTGGAACTTTGCCGCACATGCACTCTTGAAAGAACTGGGTGGAAGTGACCCGGCAAACATCAAGGAGTTCCAGGCTCGCTTTGCCGCGCCTGTGAAGCCTGGCCAGAAGCTGGCGACCAAGATCTGGAGGACTGGCGATATCAAGGATGGATGGGAAGAGGTCCGATTTGTCACCGAGGTCAATGGCAAAGTGGTTCTGAGCAACGGTCGGGCGTTAATGAAGTGTGTGGGCGGAAAGAGCAAGCTTTGACAGCTAGAGGGAGCAGAGGGAGCCAGACGCAAGCAAAGCCGGATGAAATGAAGCCAAAAATCCCTTGACTTGCTAAGTATCCAGTTCAGTTGGTCTCAACACTTCCTTCCAGCTTTGTGGCGTTTGTGTTGGGCGGAGGTTCGCCTAAAAGCGTATCTGTATCCATTTCATCTACCGCCCACTCTTCTCTCTTTCCGATGGCATCCCCATTGCCATTTGCGCGCCCAGAGTCATGTCGGAGGCTTTCAATGGTCAGGTAAGGTGGGTATCCTAGAGCGGGAGTCTCAGGAGCAGGAATTTTCATTACCGTGAAAGGGCCCGGGGTCAAGCGACTCCAGATTCGACGACGCGCTGAAAGTCTGAGGTCTCTTCCCTGACGCGCTGTTCTCGGCCCAAGAGTCAAAGTGGGATTAAAACGGCGCCAGACGTAGCGAAAGAAGTCTGATGTTCAGAGAAAAGGCCGAGGGCGTCTCGACGCGGCAAAGCTGGAAGCTGGGAACTAGAACGAGAAGGATGAGAAAGTTGTTTGGCTCATCGGCTTTTGATGCAGCAAATCATTGCACGCGGGGCGGCTTTTGGGTGGCTTTCGACATTCTTTTTCTATTGCTGCGGCTAGGAACTGTCTCGCCATCATCTCAAGCTCCGTTTCCGCTCCGTGTCGCCCCGGGTTTTCTGGTAAGTTGTAACGCTACAAGCCAAGAAGTTCTCTTCGTCCCGACGGGAAGCATTCCTCGCCCTTTTTGTCCTTCTCGCCCATGCTACAAGCCATGGATGAAGCCACTATAGCTGTCGCATGACGGTGTGTATCTTGGCAGCTTGTCGGATCGACAGTATATCTCCTGTTCCGCTGGCCAACACCCCCATGTCAATGGATATGCTGTTACATCGAGCTGACAACACCTCTGCCGATAGGTCGCTCACATCCTGTCACATCTAACACCTCCCAGACTCGGAAATTCCTCCATAGAACAAGGCCACTATGGTCCATCATGTTGCACCCGATCCCCGCAAGTTGAACTTCTTGTGCTGCACAACGAGAATCCAGCACCTTGGCGCCCCGTCTCTTTTCTCCGTGGATTTGCCAATTTCGGCATCAGGAAGGCATTGCCATGGCGCCTCGACAAAGGACATGGATGTCCGCAAAGTTTGGTGAAGCAATACCAAGCCATCCCCGACCCAGCGGATGAAGAGGTGAGTTTCTTGGTGAAGGGCTTGGTATATTTAAGATGGACTAAGTCGCCCTTCGTCCTCGACTCCATCGGTCAAGCCAGTGTCATCTTAGTTATTCATTACCAGGCACTTCAATCACCGCGTGCATCTGCTTGAGTATCACAAATATGGGTGGCGGTGGAGGCAAACCTCTGAATATCTTCCGTCTGGGGAGTTCTATGGCGGATGAACCCAGAGAAGTTCTCAATTGGAGACTTTGGTTCGCTGTCGTCTCCTTTGGCATTATGGGAGCTGCTAGAGGCGTGTGAGCTGTCCTTGGAGCATTGGAGCCCCCAATGACGTGGGCTGACAGCGATTCGTAGGGATGAAGGGTTAATCAGCGGTAAGATTGTCCTATGTTGGTGCCATCAAGTTGGGCTCTGCTGATGTTGTGCGACCAGGCACTTTCAACACGGACGACTTCCAGCGCCTTCTGGGGTTTGACAAACTCGATGAAGATCAATATGCAAATGTCAAGGGCAACGTCTCTGCAATGGTCCAGATCGGGAGCGTGGGCGGCGCTCTACTCGCCTTCATCCTCGCTGATCGTATTGGTCGTCTCTGGGCTACTCGACAATTGTGAGTCTTCCCCTTCTTACAGTCTCAGAGGTCTTCGTGCTTATCGTATTCAGGTGCCTTGTTTGGATTTTCGGAATCGTCATCTTCCTGACAAATAACGGGCGGTTGGGCCAAGTGTACGCTGGCCGCTTCATTGCAGGACTAGGAATTGGCCAGACCACTGTCATCGCGCCTGTCTATCTTTCCGAAATTTCACCCAAGGCGGTCCGAGGACTTTGCACCTGCGTGTTCTCGGGTTCGGTGTACATCGGAATCATGGTGAAGACGAGCAGCTCCGTTGTGTCGGTTCTGTGAACTAACTTGCAACAGCTCGCATACTTTTCGACTTGGGGAAGCAGCCTCCACATCGACCAGAACAAGTCCAGCTCCTGGATGGTGCCGACATCCCTCCACCTGATGTTTGCTGGCCTTATCTTCATCTTGTCATGGTTCAACAATGAATCACCTCGGTTCCTGATCAAGAAAGGCAAAATAGACCATGCAATAGCCAATTTGGCCAAGATCCGAGGACTTAGTCCCGACGACGAATACATCACGGCAGAGATCAACGGTATCAAGCACCAGCTGGATGAAGAGCAGGAAGCAACAATGGGCCAGGGATTTTTGGGCATTATTCGAGAGATGTTCTGCATGCCCAACAACTTCTACCGGATTTACCTGGGTCTCGGCGTTCAGTTATTTGGTCAATGGTCAGGTGCTCAAAGTATCACCATGTATGTTCCCCCTCCTCGTAATAGTTCAAGACCGACCCCGGCATGGTATCTCTTCTCACGCTTGCTAACATTTGGGCCCTATATGGATATGCTCCGGATGTAGGTCACCCCCGAGCATTGGTTGCCATTTGGAGGTCCCAGTTGTCATTGGCTCTTGTCTATGTCGATATGTGCTAACGCATATTTGCAGATGTTCGCGCTCCTCGGCACCAAAGGTGACAATGAAAAGGTAAGCCAGATGCAATGTTCCCTCAATTTGGTTATATTACGGGCTGACTGGAAATAGCTGTACGCTACGGCAATCTTGTGAGTTCCACTTTCTGTTGTGAGATACCGTTTCATATTTGTCCATGTTATTGATGATGATTTTCAACATGCAGTGGAGTCGTAAAGTTTGTCGCATCGATAATCTGTGCCTTGTTCCTGGTCGATGTTATTGGACGAAAGAGATCGTTGTCCGTCGGCATCGCACTCCAGGCGATTTCCATGTGCTACATTGCAGCCTTCCTGACAGCCGTGCCCAACATCGACGATAACACAGTCTTCACACCTTCTCAGAAGCATGCTTCGACAGGCGGTATTGTCATGATATACATCTCGGGCGCGGGATGGGCGTTGGGCTTCAATAGCATGCAGTATCTGCTGAATGCCGAGATCTATCCCCTCAGGATCCGTGCCGTGAGCAGCTCTTTGGTCATGTGCTTCCATTTTGGTAAGCTTTCTTATCCCCAGTAGTCAACCAGGAATGAGTTTCGCGCTAACAAGGAGTTCGAACAGTCAACCAATACGGCAACTCACGCGCGGTGCCCAACATGCTGCTCAGCCTCAGTCCCCGAGGAACGTTCTGGTTTTTCACCACGATCACGATCCTCGGTGGGATATGGGCTTGGTTCTTTATCCCCGAGACAAGCGGTCGTAGTCTCGAGGGCATGGACGCATTGTTCCGCCTTCCCTGGTACAAGATTGGAAGATACGGACAACGGGAAGCTGACGCCAGTGATCAGCTGGCGAGAGAGAGGGTGTTGGAGGAGAAGGCGGCTGTTGGGGGAAGTGCTGCCCAGGTGGAGGTGGTTCAACACGAGAAGGTATAGAAACACTTTCCGCACGGGATCGATGTGAAGAATGGTGTTTGAAAGGGGCGAAAAATATGTACGTACTGGAGTACAAGCGTGTTTTGATCTGCTGGTATGTATCACAGAGATCGACAGTCGATGTCACGAGCTCCATTCACAAGGGTTAAAATCACGGTGGCCACAATTCAGGAAGCGTAACGCCATCGAGCGGGGGAATGGTGTACCAAGTACAGAGGGTTGGGCTGGATTCAGAATCAAGGGACGAAGTCTGACAAGAGTAGGTAATGTGATTTACTATTAGGTCGAAGATATCCGTCATTCGCAAGTACACATCCTAGGTACGAAGTAGGCCATATGGCGCTTACCTTTATGAGTTGGTGGTGCTCAGGGTGCTCTACGAGGTATCCTTCAACCATACTCAGTACCGTTGGCTGTATTTGACATAGTAGCCGCTTCTTCACCGACGTTATTGAGCCCTCTTTAGCTCCAGAATATTAGGCGCTGCACGTTTTCTCCACCAGATTCAGCGTGGTCGGTGGTCACTCCCGCCAAGATTCAGCTTGACGCCCCTCAACCGTCAAACCAACGCAGGTACCCGACAGGACGCCCACCAGCCCGCGACACGCACTACGGAGTACAGATTCTTGCGTATCGCCACGCCTTAACCAAGTGCGAGCACCGAGAAAAATCACCACTGTCCGCCATGGCATCGCTGAACAGAGACTCCTTATCCAACGACCAGCCCCTCTCAGGTGTGGCTGGACACCATCCCCTGGCTCAAGAAACCTGCGCTCCATCCCTGCTTGTATCGGTACCCAACTACCTCGTACTCCGTACTCGTTGGCCTGCAAGATGCAAGACTTGTGGAGGATATTACATAGGATATGGCAGAAACCCCCGAGCGATCTCAACGAGCAACAGGCCATCCTCTTGGCCCACATTTCGCTTGACTTGGATGGCAGCATGTTCCTTGTCTCAGCGCACCCAGAAAGGAAAAGTCCCTCGATTCGAGAAAACCCTCTGGGCCGCCAATGCCTGAAGATAAGGACAAGAGTGGTCAGAAGAGATAGAACCTGGATCCATTTTTGGCGCACCGCAAACATACCATCCCTGAACTCTGACTTCTGGACGTGTTTCTTTTTTGGCGTTTCAACACACACACGCTGCCCATTTCAAAATGGTCCCCCCCCCCACATGCGACTTGCAGGACGTAATCTCCGCAAGACGGATGAGGCGTTGATTCTGACCGAAGTTAAGTCGATCTCGTCGTGTCCTGGTTTCTTACTCTCCTATGGGCGGCGGAGTGAGACTCAATCACGATGAATCTGCTCTGCGTCTATCAAACCCCCCTTGTCCCTCCCCCCCTTATGCGATGTGTCCTCTCCATCGATATCTTCTGTGATCCCTACCCTCGTCCCGCTTTAAACTCGGATTCTTCCGCCATGTTCCTGGTCAGGCAATGCTGGAATCTGCTGCGCCAACCATAGGTAGACGCCAATTCAGGAGTCTCCGTCATCAGCGACCCGGCCAGATGGAAATTATATCGATATAACATTCTGCGGTCCCCGTGGCGTGTTGTCTCCCCCCCCCACTCGCTGGAGCGAAAAAGCATTCCTCTCTCCCGTCTTCCTCCTCCTATCGACGTTTGAACAAGAGGAGGAAGAAAGACGATATGGGGATTCGTCCAGTCCTAGACAGATTTTCTGCTCCGGCAAGAATACAACGGCTCAGCGTCCTCGCCTTAGCAGCGATTCTGATTGTCCTCTTCTTCCAAAGCACATTATTCCCGGTAAACTCGGTGACCTACCTTCACAGAAAAGTGGGTAGCACTCGTCTGCGAAGCCGTGCATCTGATGCACTCTTGGCTAATGAGTTCTAGGTCGACCGATCGCGGTCCGGATACTACCTACAATGGGGGCCTTTCGATCCTTTACCGATACCGGGGTTTGTGAACACTGGATTGCCTGGCAAGAGATCGTGTGATACTTTGAAGTACAACTCGACTGTCGGGGTGCAGAAGAGCTTCTTCCTCGACGATGATATCAAACAAATAGCCTTGACCCTCGACTCTCATCCGATGGTCGACTACCCTGACGAAATGATGAATGACCCCAAGATGGAAGCGAGTGAGATCATTGAGAAGACGTGGGCTCGCCTTTCCGGATCCAGTGTGTGGCTGCCGGAACAGAAGGTCTTCTTGTCCGTCACTCGAGTTATCTTCTGCCCTTCGAGGACTCGTTCAGTGCCAAAGATGAGCTTTCTGCGAGGCCAACTCTACAACCAGGACTGGGAGCATTTGGACAATCATACAATCACCTGGGGTGGACAGCAGTTCAAGTTTCCCCTGGTCTTCGACGTCCCCGCGCAATGGGAAGACGATGGGAGCTTGTATGGACCCGAAGACCCCCGGATCATTCTGGAGGACAATGTAAAGGGCGCCGAACCAGTTGTCATTTTCAACATGATCGCGAAACGAACCGAGTGGAAGCGAGCAATGTACATCTTCCGACCCTTCTCCAACTACTCCACCGTCCTCACCATCAAGGACACTGACCGACAATCGACCGAAAAGAACTGGGCACCATTTTTCATTCCAAACGAGCAACAGCAGGCGTCGGCTGGCACGAATCCCACCACAGCAATTGCAGCTCTGCGCCAACCCAGCGAATACATCCATTTCGTTTACAGCTTCAAACCTTTACGGATCTTGAAGTGCCATCTCCGCTGCGGCGATTGTGAATTCGAATATGAGCAAGAGGTGCCCGACAACTTCATGACCAAACACAATGAAGAGGGCGGCAGTTTGCGTGGTGGCACCAATTTCGTGCCGGTGCCCCTGCCGTCAAGCATGAACATCGATCCCCGAGTCCGAGTATACGCAGCCTTTCCGCGGACCAATATCGAGAAGCATTGTGATGGCAGTTTTTATCGACCAGAATTTGTGGTAATGATTAATATTGGCACACAGTTCCACCTCGCTTTTGCTTCCGAGTCGCTTGACTTCGGCAACGCTATACTCGACCTGGGACCTGAGGACGACCGCTGCGACAAAGGGCGCATCCTCATTCCCAACAGTGTGGCTCAGTGGGATACGAGCAATGGCCATGATGTGATGAGTGTGACATTTAGTGTCAACGATGAGACGGTCCAAGTCGCCCGCATCGAAGGGCTGTTGTCTTTCGTTCGTAATCTGCCTCAATTCAAGACGCTACTGAAAAAGGATGGTCTTCTGAAGGGTGCTGACTCGGACCTGATGGGCATCTTATCTTCCTGGGTCGGGGACGATGTACGTGGCTGTCTTGTCGAGGCCGCCCTAAACTACGCCACTGCAGCGCAGGAGATCACGCACCCGAAAGAGGGAGGGGAGGTGATGGATGTGACCAAGGAGCTAATGCTCAAGCTCAAACAGGAAGCAGACATGACCAAGCAGAAGGATGAAGAAAGCTTCAATCACGGTTTCGAACCAGGACATCTGTTTTTGGAACATCCTGCCGATGATGACGGTGCACAACCTTTCCGCTTTGAGATGTTGGGCGAGTTTTCCGATGTCGAAGGCCTGTCGGTTGAGGGCTTGGACGGTAATGGCAACAAGAATGACGAAAAGAAAGAGGAGGTCAACAAGGAAGAGAAGGAAGAGGAGAAGAAGGAGGACGGGAAGAAAGGAGATGGATGGAAAGATCAGAAACAGAGTACAGACGAGGAGCAGGACGAGGAGATGAAGCAAAGTGAGGAAAAGGATCAAGATACGCCAGGACAAGACACGAAGGACGAGGAAAAGCCGCCGGAAAGCCAACCTGAAATCCAACCCAAGCCACTGCACGTTCACCACCGATATCATAACCATCAGAATCACCGCAGGATGTGGCCGTAATTGTTCAATGAAGACGGAAATCTACCTTCCGATACTCGTTCCAACAAGTGGCGACATGGAGCCAACCCATAGGACTCGACGAAAGTCACGGTCGAAGACGAGATGGCGAATTTGTTGACGGAAATCATGTGGGAGGCAACGAGCCTGCCCGAGGTTACGGGGCCTTTTCTGGTACTCCCTTCGTACGCGGCTCTGCCTTTATTTGACGACGACGACCAGCAAGGCCAGGAAGCGACTCTGGTTCTCTTCTCCAGGCACGTCTGCCTGGATATTCTACATTCTCCTGGAGTTGCACAGCCAGCGCTCGGGCCCTTGACTTTTTCTCTCCTTTTTCTTTCGTGTTCAATGACGAATATTCCCCATGAAGATAGAGCGGGAAGGCCTGTTTTGGCCATGGACGGTAGGAATGACCCAGAAAGACGACAGCAGGATCAGGATATGTGGAGGCGTTTTTGCATAGTGCAGAGAGACTGAAAGTTCTTGCTCAGCGAGGAGTTCCGGGACTAGCTGGAGGACGTTTTGAAACTTCTAATGATGATACCAGGGTTCAATACGGGATAATGCGTATATCTCCAGACATGACGGATGCCTGAGAAAGGGCGATAGCCCAAGTAGAAGATAGAGAGCATACCGAGTTCGCCTTGGACGAAATGAAGATCTCGTCGCGATCTCTGTCCCTTCCGTCCCTCTCGGATCCTGCCCTGTGAGGCATGTATGCCGCATCGCATCTCCGGACAGATTGCATACACCCGGCCTTTGTTGCCCTTTGGTCCTCTAATCTGGCCCTAGTTCCCACGGGCGAGCAGCATAGAGTTCCAGAAGAACTTTTGACCCGCGGATCCGGATGTGCTATTCCAAACTTGATAGAGCTCGGATGAAGCACCAGAGCCATGTGTTTGCCCCGTTTATTCATGAGATCCTAGTTTTCTCTTTCATCGACCTCGACCAGACCCAATGTGGCCATTGCGCCGTTCATCACCCGGACCGGAGTCAACACGAGTAAGCACAGTAGCTCATAGGACAGGATCAACCAAGAAGCATCAAGTGCACTGTTCATCTACTGGAGCCAAGCAACTGGGTCCCCGCAAACCATTACTTCCCGACTCGAAGTCCCGAGGCGATGGTGGCTGATGGGCGTTTCTGGGCACGCTAGAGATGTGCAAGTCTTGGGTACGGGCGATGAGTGATGGAAGAAGGACTTCAGACAAGGTCCGCTCGGAAGTATTTGCTTCCTGGGGAGGGCTAGAACCCGGCTGAACTGGGAGAGTGAATCTAAGGGAAGGATTGATGACTGCCCTTCCCTTTGGGGTGAGAGAATGAAGGAGAAGCAAGACAAATCTGTAAGTCAAAGAGATCAAGCCTGGTTCAAGAACGCAGGCATCCAGCTGTTCGTCGTGTGACAGGACAGAGAGTGAGTGAGAGAGAGAGAGAGAGAGAGAAAGGAGGCAGGGAGAGGCGAGGGAGCATTCTTGGCAAGCCCCGTCAGTTATGGATCTAGCAAGTACACCAGTCAAGACCAGTCTGACCAGTGCATCCTCCTGCTATGTAACTGGTACATACATTATCCTATCTGCGGTATTTGACTCCGTCTACGCTTCTTGTCAATCGCCATTTCCACCCTGGCCATTGGTCCCCGCAAAAGATAGCGACCATCATTTGCCATCTTCATCTCCCTTCCCCGTCATTTCGTCTCCAGGTCTCCGTCCAGGTCTCCATCCAGGTCTCCATCCAGGTCCCACGGTTCCAGACCCTTCATCCTTTCAACCAGCCTTGTCTCCGCTGACCAGGTGCAGCATCCGGAGTGCCAGGTGTCAGGGCCAAGATGGGCCGTTGTGACTCTTTCTCTGCAAGCGTGCATCGTTTATTCGTTGCTCCCTCCGACTCGATGGACGATGGACACGGATGTTGGACATGCCAATCAACCAACGTCTCGAGCTGACGGCCGGGATGCCATGGCGACGCAAGACTACTTAGACCCGGCCGCCCCTCCTCCCTTGGCCATGCTTTGTCTCGACGTCTCTTGATATCCTCACACTCGTCGTCTTACTTCCACACCGAATAATCCAGCATGACTTCCAAAGACCATAATGTCGAGGAGCGCCAGGCCGATCAGGCCGTCCGACAGTCGCTTCAAGACGAGGTCATGAATGAGAAGGCAGCCGCCATGCATGCAGAGAACTTCCATGAAGCTGCAGAAAGAGGCCACACTGCTACTGACAAGTAAGTCAAGCATCTCCCTCATGCACCAAATAGCCACGGCTAATGCCCGCTCTAGATATGGCCACTCCCTTGTTACATTCGATCCAAAGGCCGAAGCAAAACTGCGCTGGAAGATTGATCTCTACGTCGTGCCGACGGTCTCTCTTCTCTACCTCTTTTGCTTCATCGACCGCGCTAATATCGGTGAGTGGCACGGCATCTCATCATAAATGATCCCCTCCTAACCTCTCCCTTCCAGGTAACGCCAAGCTCGCTGGCCTCGAAAAAGACATTCATTTGACGGGTTACGATTATAACATTGTTCTCTCTACCTTCTATATCAGCTATATCCTCTTTGAGTTGCCGGCAAACATGGCCTGCAAGTACTTTGGCCCTGGATGGTTTCTCCCCACCACCTCGCTTGCTTTCGGAATCTTTTCCATCTGTACGGCCTTCGTCCACCACATGTCCGCGGCGTGTGGCGTACGTTTCCTCCTAGGTATAGCCGAGGCCGGCATGCTTCCAGGTATTGCATATTATATGTCTCGATGTAAGTCTCTTCCTGATTGACAGACTGTCTTCTCCGTAGCTAGGAGTTATTCCAAGTGCACCGTCATTCGTCCGTCCAGGCTGACAGATATCGCAGGGTACCGTCGCAGCGAATTGGCATTTCGGCTATCGCTTTACATTGTCATGGCACCCCTCGCCGGAGCTTTTGGAGGTCTTTTGGCTTCTGCAATCCTAAAGCTTAGCCATTTTGGAGGCCTCCATGAATGGCGGATGATCTTTGCCATTGAAGGCATCATCACCTGTGGTCTTTCGCTCATTTCCTTCTTCACCCTGACTGACCGGCCGGAAACCGCGAGATGGCTTAGTCAAGAAGAAAAAGACCTTGCAATTGCCAGAGTCAAGTCTGAGCGTGTTGGCACGACCGAGGTGCTCGATAAGTTGGACATGCCCAAGATTCTCCGTGGCATCTCGAGCCCGGTCACTCTCGCCACATCCTTCATCTTCCTTCTCGACAACATCACCGTCCAAGGGCTGGCCTTCTTCCTCCCGACCATTGTGAAGACGATCTATCCCAAGAACTCAGTCGTGTCTCAACAACTGCACACCGTCCCGCCGTATGTTGTGGGAGCCTTCTTCATCCTTCTTTTTCCCTTGCTCTCGTGGCGATACGACCGTCGCAACATCTTCATCATCCTCTCGACGCCGTTAATGATGGCGGGATACATCATGTTCCTGGCCAGCACAAATGCCAGCGTCCGTTATGGGGCAACATTTCTCATTGCAGCCGGAGCTTTCTCATACGGTGCGCTCTGCAACGCCCAAGTTTCCGCAAATGTCGTCTCAGATACGGCCCGCTCAGCCGCCATTGGCACGAACGTCATGTTTGGAAACGTCGGCGGGTTGATTTCTACCTGGTCTTTCCTGCCCTTTGACGGGCCCAACTATCATATTGGCAACGGATTGAATTTAGCTACCTCGTCGACGATCTTGATTTCTGCCATTCTCCTGCTGTTCTGGATGTGGGCGGATAATAAGCGGAGGGAGAAGAAGGATGTCGATGCCGAGTTGGATGGCCTGTCATTGAAGCAGGTACAGGATCTTGACTGGAAGCATCCTGCCTTCAGGTGGAGGCCATGATTGGGTATGCGTTTGTGTGAGGGAGGCTGTGGAGCGGATGGCAGTGAGGCTGTGTTGGATGGAAAAGGGGCTAAGCTGCTTTTCCCTTCCCACTGCGGATCGAGAAGCTTTCTGATCTAGTAGCCTTAGCATACATGGTCCAAGAGACGGTCATGCATTTCTTCCCGGGCGATGGACATTCTTAAATCATGTATTCTTGTTGATTAAATTAGTTTCCTGTACAAAGGAAGCTCAATGTTGAGTCCATGCAAGGCTCCAGGTCGAGCCCTCAGAGCGGGGGGAATAACTATTTATCCGGCCACCAACCACAGACAGACAGCCAACTTCAACTCGAACGTCACTCCATTGACAACAATCCTCCTCTTGTTCCTTCCACGGACACATTGTTCATTTCTTCATCTGGCCCTTTGCTGTCCTTGTCCTCACGGGGCTGCAATCCCCTGCGCTCCATGTGAGTCAAACCCCTGGTCCTCGATAATGCCAGCTTGTCCCGACGCGGGCAGGCTGGCGTCAATTCAGCCTCGCCAGGCAGACATGATAATCCCACTATGTACCTCACTTCCCAATGCTTTGACGTGATTATTTATTATTCCGTGCTCCTGGAGATGCGGTGATCGTATCGTATCGCCTCAGTTCTCTTTTACATTTCTCACACCTTGCTGCTGGACCTCTTCGACGAGCGATTGAGATACACCCTCGGGAGTCACTCTATTTGCCCCACCACGCCCGTTCTGGGACTGCTCGCAACCAAGCACAACCCTGAAAGAGCACCAATTCCAACTGGTGCGATACCGTGCTCGGCTCCTGTGTCGATGGCTTCTTCGACAGCACTTCTACCAGCAGCACGGAAAGGTTCTAGTCCAGAAAATCCCTCGCACCACGCCCTCAAGGGTCTCGCCTCCCTTCCTCCGGAAATCCACCACATGGTTGCAGAACACCTTCCGTACCCCGACTTGCTGTCGCTGAAACTCACAAACACCTACTTCGCAGCCCTGGTCGGCTCGAAACTCACGGTGAAGATGCGCATCAGCTGGGTGAAGAGCAGATATGCCCAGCATCTCCCCGTGCCCAAGAGCACCAAGCTATCCTTTAAATCGGACGCCCTGTTCGTCGCCAATCCCGAGGTTAAAACAATCCTGAGGCGGCGGAGGCATCACCTGGAATGCGCGGACCATGAGCGCGGAGGTGCCTTTGTGTTCTCCATGTTCGCCGACGTCGACCACCAAGGCCGTGGGGATACCCAACAGCCGTGGAGTAAAGTCTGCCTTGTCACGGGGAACCCAGTGTGTCCTAAAATCCAGGAACTGGAGGCCAAGAGGCAGCAGTACAAGAATAGCGTCGTGGGGAAAGTGGCGGTTCCCGTGGTACGAGCGATCGCTTGGCTGAGGGGAGTATGGCGTCTTCTCAGTGATTCTTGGCCGCAGATCATGGCTGGAAGGCTGCGCGCCTCAGGGTTTCACAGGCCATATTTCGCCACCCTGTTAGAGGCGGTCCTCGTGGTTGTCTTGATCTGGACCATTTGCTGTTGGAGCGACATCTGGGCGTCCCTTTGCATATTCGCGCAACCATATTGGCGCGCCATGATGGGAGGGCCGGGCGTTTGGGATGGATAGTGCGCGAAGCGGTGGCATCTGCATGAGCCTTGAGCTTCCTTCTCAGATCAGCGACGGAGTCGCCGTCCTCCCAGAATACTCCTGTAGCGTGAATATTGGCAAGGACCATCCTGTTTGCAAAAACAGGAAAAAAAAAAATTAAAAATAAAAAATCAAACTCGGTCCTTTAGGTCAAGCAAAATTCTTCGCTCTTTAATCCATCGGCGGGAATCGCATCAGAGTCGGCCGACAACTCAATAACCTGATCGAAATCCAAATCCTTCAAACCGGGATCGGGGACGGGAGTTTGCAGGAGCACGGCAGGGCCGACAAATGTATACCTCTGAGCCATTGCCTTGCGGACACAAGCGAATCGGTCGGAACCATCAAGTCGGAAGACCCAATCGCTCGATTGCACGGCATCCGAGGCCAAGATAAAAAAAAATCAGCTCTCATCTTGCGACATGGAGGCTGGGAGTTCGGGTAGCCAATGTCGATCATTGCAGTGCTCCCCTCAAAATTGCAAAGTTGTGTTGTCATTTTCAATTTGGGCCGGAACATCCCCCTGCCCATTTCCTTATTGAAGCTTTGTACGCCGCCTTCGTAATTAAGGGGCAGGGTAAAGTCGATCTTGGAGGCGCTGTAGGATATGCTCTGAATGAAGCGCATGAACCGAACCTTATTCGATCCAGACGTGGACAATCGATCGGTCAGATCTCCTGTGCCACTTGCAAGAAAGCCCAGCTCGACTCTCCATTTCGGGGTCTTATGGTCCGCTAGGTCCGCCCACTGCTCTTTGAGCATTCTCTCGCCTACACGGGCTATTGTCACCCCAGTAACTGTCAAGCAACCTGGAAGATCACCTTTCTGTAGCGGGTGGTACTGTCCTACTTTCCCCTTTACGCCACCATAATATGGATGTTCGGAGTCTTTGAAAGCTAGGAGCTTACATGTTCGCCAGTCAGTCACCCAGGATGGCATATCTATTGCCTTTTGCGTATAGGAGCGAAAGACATGAAGAGGCAATAGACTTTGGGAATTTTGAACAAGATAATGGATAGCATCCTGGTAGACTTCTCCGGTATTTTTCCGATAGTCCACGGGATAAATTTGTTCATCACTGGCGATTACGGTGATGAACCCGTGATGCTTGATATTGACCTGCTCCAGCATCATTCCGATCAGGGCATACACCCTATCACGCGGATCGGAAGACTCAAAGCCAACGTTTCCCGATAAGATGTACATCCATCTCATCAGTTTACTGTGTGGCTTGTCGATGGGATGCCTGGGCAGGGATCTCGCAAAGCGTCCAGTGCCGCAGAGAGCTTTTGAAGATTGGGAAAATATTCTTCAAGTGATGAACTGCCTTTCTTGAGTTCGGCAACGGATAGAGCAAGGCTGCCAAATTGTACGGTCAGACTTCGTGCCGCAGAAAATTCCTGGCGGATCCAGGTCCTGCTGAACCACGGTCGTTTAAGTATCTGCGAGAAAGCTTTGTCGATGTGCTCAAGTTCAGCAGGACAATCTTTGTCGTGCGCCACGTTGAAAGACTGCCGGCTCCACGCCGAACAAGCATTTAGTGCTTCTTGGTGACCCACCACAATTGGGAGACCTCGACTATCTCCCGAGGTCGATGATGCCTTTGATGGTTTGTTACAAGAGTTCTCTTTTTCTATGGTTTCTTTCTCTGCTCCGATAGCGAGCAACCCGTAAGCAGCACTCTCTTCAACTGAAGGTAGCCCTAGCCACACGATAACGCGTTCAGCCTTCGTGAATATCAGCATCATGTCTTGAACTTAGGTCGACTTCTCTTTGAGGTCGAACTGATTGATGCACACCGGCATGATCTTGGCGAAAGGGTGAGCTAGGTTAAGCTAAGAGATGTGACTTCGAGAGTATATCCTTATTATATCAGGGACCTACGCAACGCAGTAGGTACAAAGGAATTGGAGTAGCTGAATGCCTTGTTCTATTCACGTAGCCCTATTGACAACGACTCAACGCTTGAGAAAAAGGAAGAGTTCTCTCTCAGCCGATTCAGGTGAGAGGAGACTCTTATAGCTTCCCCTCTTTCTGTCACGTGAAAAGGGTAAGGCAGCGTTAACCGATAGCCTTGTGCCTCAACCGTCCTTTGCCTTATCCTTTCCTTTTCTTTCTATACCGTCCACCCGATTCGGGTGGAGGGCGTAGAGTACTTGGGGACAACGGTGGGTTCGTGACAGTTGCCCCCCCTCCAAAAAGCGGCTCGCCCTCGAGTCGCTGCGAGTATGAAGACAGCCTTGATCCATCGTATGGACAGGCCGTCTCAATTGTTAATGACGAAGACAATGATATGGTAGTTGAATAGCCATTCACTGACAATAGTAAGTGATTGAATTCCCACCCGATTCAGGTGAGACAGCCGTTTTGTATTGTTGCAGCAATGCGGGTGAGGTTCAATTCACTTCAGCCTTTGCTTTGGTTCTTGAGCCCTTTGCTATGGCCTTCTTCGTCTCTTTCTTCCTCGTTCAGATCAACCACAAGATGTGTAAGTATTACCCACCCCACTCGGGTGAGAGACGCTGCTGACATGTATACAGCCTCTTACGTACGAGGAAGTCCGGCTGGACACTCAGTCCCAGTTGGGCTGTGGTGCCAGCCTTGTTGGCAAGAATTGTGAGTTCTGCAATATCAGAACAATGACAGCGTACTGACGAAAGAAGCGCTTTCCGCGGTTTTGCGGATCCTCCGTCTGCTCCTGGCTCGGAGCCAGTTTTTTCTGCCTTGCCCTGCGACTGGACTTGGTCCAAGTCGTGTGGGTTTTGCTCTCGTTCCCGGCCTGGCGCTGGCTGCGTTGCCGTGAGTGAGAATTCAGCCAAGGTTAATGGCATGCTGAATGGATTAGGTCCCCGTCAACCTGCAGGCAGGTTGTCGTGCCCTCCAAGCTCTCATCGAGAGAGCAATTTCCGTTGCTGGCAGTGGTTCGGCTATTCCAGCCGATCAGATGTAGGTGTTTCTCACCCGATTCGGGTGATGAATCACTAACACCTATTTCAGGGAATGGCTCAAGTCCCAAGCACAGGGGCTTGAGCCCATGTTTCGAAAAGCCAACCGTGCTTGCAAGGTTGGCGGCGATGCCGACCTCTCCGATCTTGGGGAGGTTTGGCATTTGCCAGACGTCCCAATGGACGTTTTCACCTTTTGTTAGTGATATTAAGAGGTGGAGGAATAATACTGATTAGAACAGTGGCTCCCTCTCTCCCGGCCCCTTCTGCCTCCGTCAATGACGATGAGGAGGATTTCAGCTCGGGTTTCGGTATGCTTGTCCTTCCCACCCGATTCGAGTGAGAAATCACTGACAGTGAAATAGACTGGAGTGCTGGTTATTCCAGTGACTCCTCCTCTCCTCTCTCCTCTCCTCCGGCTTCGCCGGTCTTGAAGAAGGCTGTTGCCTCTTCCTCCTCTTCCGCTGCCGCCGTCCGCGCTCGCCAGAGAGTGCCGGACGTGTGGTCAGCTACTCTTCGCGGCCCTGAAATGTGGGTCGAATATATGAATCAAGAACGTCTCTGGGCCTATGGCCGCTGGGACAACGATGTCTCTGGACGACGTCGTTCTTCTCGTTTGTGGTACCAACATTAGGGCCACACAGGATATAAGTGGACAGCAGGGCAACATTGTCCTTGGGAGGTAGGTCGGGACCTCCCTAAAACACAGGATATATGTGGACAGCAGGGCAATACTTGTCCTTGGGGGTAGGTCGGGACCCCCAAAACGACCTGCAAGGGTATCGCCTTCACGTGGCGCAGGTTGTAAGTAGCCCTTTGTGGTGAAACTGAGTATACCCCCACTCGATTCAGGTGAGAGATATTTCTCATTAAGTACGCACGCCGTACTTTTCGTCGAACTCTCTGATCATTTTTCGCACAAGGGCACCGGTGAAGTGTTTCCTAGGTTCCCATGTATTGTGTTCATGGCCCCACCCTAGCCATTTAACTAACCAACGTCGTCTTGCTCCCTTTCCTTGAGCGTCTAGGATCTGTTCCACATCGAACTCTTCCTCTTCATCTACATTGATAGGTGGAGAAGGAAGAGTTCCTTGGCGTTGATGATAAGCCTGAAGGAGTGAAACGTGAAATGTTGAATGAATTCGTCCATAACGCTTAGGTAGAGTAAGTTGATAGGCATTTTTACCTATTCGTTGTTTGACGTGGAAAGGCCCTATATACTTGTCAGAGAGTTTCTTACTGGCTTTGCGTAACTTAATGTTTTTCGTTGAGAGCATAACTAGATCGCCCGCTATAAATTCTATATTCTTGCGGTGCTGATCATAGTAGCTCTTAACCTTTTCTTGCGTCCTTTGCCAGGATTCTCGCAAGTGAGCTCGTACAGCTAAAACCTCCTCAGCATTTTGTCTTGCTCTCTCATGAATTGAGAGCGGTTCCTTTCCACCTGATTCGGGTGGATAAGGACCTTTAAGATTTCTTTTCATGCTGGGTTTATAGTTGTACACTACCTGGAACGGTACAGCATTGATCGTACTGTTCCGGCTATTGTTGATAGCCCATTCTGCACTGCTGAGCAGTTCAGCCCAGTTGCTTTGTTCGTCATTTAGATAGCATCTCAAGTAGCATTCAAGCACTTGATTCAGCCGCTCTGTTTGTCCGTCTGTCTGTGGATGAAAAGCGGTTGATAGCTTTCTCTTGACCGTGAGATAATAGCACATCGTCTCCCAATACTTCGACGTAAATAGGGAGTCTCTGTCACTCACAATTGTTTCAGGCATTCCATATCTCGAGAAGACTTCATCAATTAAGACCGTCCCTAATTCCTGGGCCGTTATGTCTTGCTCACATGGAATGAGACGCACCATTTTTGAGTGCCTGTCTACTACCACCAGCACCGCGTCGTAGACGCTATTCCGATGCTTAGACGGTGGTAGCCCTACGATGAAGTCCATGGCAATACCTTGCCAGGGCTCCATCGGCGGAGCCAGAGGGACCAGCTCTCCATAAGGCTTGTGCCTTGGAACCTTCATCCTTTGGCACACATCACAAGTATCCACATACTCGTAAACGTCCCTCTTCACCCTGGGCCACCAGTAACAACGCTGAATAAC